TAAAACGTAATCATACACAGAATATTTGATGAATTCGAAATAAATATTTAAACTACTGCTTACATGCTGTCTCTTATACACATCTAGATGTGTATAAGAGACAGACTCTGTCAATATTGATGCTACAGATATAAAATACATATCATTGGAATCCTCTCAATGAGCTGAATCCAACCATATAAAAATTATAAAAATCGAATTACTGGATGTGGAGTTCGTTAACTTTGAATTTTAATATTATTGTTTACTATAAAATCATATGACTATGACGTAATTTTGACCATTTCGACTTTTGGAGGGGCTCAAGTCAAAATCATTTCGACCATTTTGACCATTTCAGAGGTCAAAATTAACCAATTTTAGTTTCATGTATAATTATGGTATATTAATATGTACAATTAGACTATATATTTCTAGTATCCTAACTATTCTCTACTAGTATTTTTATAAAAGCCTTTGAAAGATTTATAATCTTAGTTACTATATATAAATTCCTATTTTAGTAGTTATTCTATATAAATACTACTATTTCAAGTTTTTATATATCAATTTTAAAATGATCTTCACAATCATTAATAATTAAATTTATCATATATAATATCAGTAAATCTGAAATACTTAAATTTCATGATTTTTTAATAAAAAAAATAACAGTATCTAATGATTGAACCTTTTAATGAATTAATATTGCTTTTTTTTATTAGTTAAATCTAAAGTTAAACTTATTAAATTGAAAACAACTAGCTTGTTTAATATTAAATTAAGCTATTAAAAATATTGAAAGTATATGTAAAAAAAAGTTAAATCAAATGTATAAATAAACTAATATTACTCTTTCATAGAGATGAGAAAGGTCCAAACAGAGCAATTTTGACTAGTTCTGAAACTGATTCTAATTTTAGCAGATTTTGAATTTGAAACACTCTAAAAACTGTTTCAAAAATCAAATTAGAACTGGCTACAAACTGGTTTAAAGGAATCACTTCAAATCAGATTATTATCAAAAATTATAACGAGCACAGATTAACCATCATTTGATGACCAATCAAAATTTTCTTATTGATTTTTATCATATACTCTACTTGTGTCTTAAATTTGATGCATGTAGCTCATATTTTACTTAATGAGAACTGAAGCAAAATTGATAAAAAACTGAAATAGAACTGACAAATCAATTCCCATTCCTAGTTTTTCATTTAATAGTTAGAAAAATATTATGAATCAAAAATTACTTAAAATTATAATTGTTTTACTTTTTAAAGAAATTTTGGTATAGAAAGTAATAGATATAAGTGGTTAAAAAAAACATGTAATTGATGTTATATTGCATGTTAAAAAAATGTAAGAAATTTAAAAAAAAAGTTAATTAAAGTAATAATAGTTATAAGCAATAGTGCTGCAGTATATATTTTAGCATGGTAAGTCTATTTTTTATTATTACTTATAAAGTATCAAGAAATATCTATTATTATTTTTATATTGTATTAATTATTACATCTTAATAAAAACTGTTTTTTTTATCAGATTTAAGGTTGCTTGTCTAAACCTCTTCAAAATCCTATGATTAGTTTCGTCAAAATTTTACTATAGATTTATTATAGTTTCAGCAGAGTTTCAGCAGTTTCAGCATTTATAATAAGTTTCGGCAGTTTCGCCTTTCTCCAAAGTTTCGCCAGTTTTTTAATATAACTTTAATATAGTTTCAGCAGAATTTCGCTTTTTGGTGAAACGCCATCTTGCCTAAATCCCTAAGTTTCGGCAAGCAACCTTAATCAGGTTATTAAATACATATAACATATTAAATTATAATTTTAAATTTTAATAATATTTTATAGAAAATTTCTAAGTTTACACAGGGTGTTTGTACACAGGTCATATAAATATAATTTTTAATAGACTAATTTTTTATTTTTTAATTTGAATTGAATGCTACCAACATTATACTCTTTTACTTTTTATTCTTAAAATATTACAGATAAATATATGTATTTTCATCTGCTCTGCAAGTTTACTTAAGGCATTAAAGAAAGTTTTGAATGCCGTTTTTAATCTACTAATATGACCCGTGTTTAAACACCCTGTGTACAAATAGAAATTGCTTATTTTATATCAATTTAAATATTAATTTCATCTTAAATACTCAATGTATTTTTTTACTATGTTTTATATATCAATGCAATTTAGCAGTCAAAGAAATTTTTAAGGAATCTAGTCTTTTAGTAAATATATTTACTAATACTGTTAATTAGTTCTTTATTTTAATCAAAATATTTAAAGAAAATTTTATTTAAAATATTATATTAATAAAATCTGAAAACACAAAATGAAATTCTTACTACTATTTACTGGTAAAAAAATGATCTATTCTATACATATCTTACACATATCTTATACATATCAGGTATTTAAAATGTAGAAAATTTTATACAAATAACATACATATTATACACATATTAGGTATTTATATACACCCACCTGTCAAAAGTATCTGGACACCTCTAAAAAATGACCATTAAATCACATTATTTCGACGTCCAGATCAGAATTTAATGATTTATGATTCATTGGATTCATCTAATTGAGACGCATCTAACTGCAGTATTTCAAGTCTGTAAGTTCAATAGATCAGAAGTTATTGCTGAATGTCTAAAAATAGTAAAATGCAAATAACTTTTGATCTATCAATTCTAGAGACGTGAAAATAATAGATACCATGTATCTTAACAAGACAAATCTAATGAATCATATTTCATCTTTCTAAGTTCAATAGAGAAGAAAATGTTTTGAAATTTGTATATGTCAAATTTTTAAAATTGAATAATGAATTATTTGCATTTTACTGTTGAGAATAACATCTGATCCATCAAATTTAGAGACATAAAAACACTGTAATTAGATGTATCTTGATAATATGAATTCATTGAATCATAAATAATTAGATTCTGTTCACTGGTTATTGAAATAATGTGATTTAACTTTATGAAGTAATTCATTTTTTATCTTTAAAACTTTAGCAAATACAAATTTCACAACGTTTTCTTCCCTATTAAACTTAGAATGATGAAATATGATTCATTAGATTTATCTTGTTAAGGTACATTGTATCTATTATTTTCATGTCTCTAGAATTGATGGATCAAAAGTTATTTGCATTTTACTGTTTTTAGACATTCAGCAATAACTTCTGATCTATTGAACTTACAGACTTGAAAATACTGCGGTTAGATGCGTCTCAATTAGACGAATCCAATGAATCATAAATCGTTAAATTCTGATCACTAGACGTTGAAATAATGTGATTTAATGGTCATTTTTTAAAAGTGTCCAGATATTTTTGGCAGGTGGGTGTATATCATATACCTATCAGATATCTGATATGTATATGATATATATATAAATACCCAATGTGTATATAATATGTGTATTATTTGTATAAGATTTTTTACATTTTGAGTACCTGATATATGTAAAATATGTGTAGGATAGATCATTTTTTTACCAGTGTATTGTTATAAAAGTAAATAAGTTTTTATTACTTAATATATAGACGATCATGATAAATCAGATCTTTAATAAACTGGATTTGGTATTAATTCAGATTTTTCTTTTAGAACCAAATCTGTCATATTAAAACAATTGTGATATACCAGAAAAATTAGAAATAAACACAGTAAAATTATACATTACACCAATTTTTTTGATTACATTATAAAAGGACTTTTTGATAATTCTGATAAGCATGTAGTATAATGGCTTAATATAGCTTTAAATAAAAGCAAGACAAGAAAATTTGAAGATTGCATAAAATAACCAGATTTTATAATTTCCGTTATTCAGACCAATATCACTATATTTGTAAGCAAAATTAGTTTTCTGTCAAAGAAAGAGGCTGTATATAAGAATTGTGATGATTTTATTCACTTGGATGTATTTATGAAGAATATGTTAAACTCATTTATTGACAAGAGTGTAGATATAAAAGTGTTAGACTTTTAATGCATTGGTAAAAAAATTAGTATCATTTTTTTCTTATTTTATTCTTTAACACTTTTTGATTATTTATAGATTATAAAATTAATTATCATATCATAAATCTTGTTCAAAAAATATATACTATGATTAATATTAGACAAGTATCAATTCCAGCATCCTTAAAAAATATGTCATCATTTATAGATAGTATAGAATTATCATTAGGAATACAAGATATTTTTCATGAATCATATGAAAATTTCTATGCCAGACTTTATAATTCAGGATTGTTAATAAAAAAGACAACATTCAAACAAGATACCCTTTGCATTCCAAAGTTTTAAAGTTTTAAAAGTTGATTAGCAAGATATATAATATTAATAGACCCTGTTCATTTTGGTTTAAACATTTCTAGTATATTTAAGTACACATAAAATAAAAATTTATTATTATACTAATAGGCTTATTTCTACTAATTTTATGGTACTAAAAGTCTATACTTGACAATAAAAATGTAACTCTTAAAAATCTTTCAACTTTTTAAAAAGAAAATACAATTTAGAAAAAATAGCATTAAGCAGATTTGTGAAGTGGATAAAAGTCTGGATCCACTTACCATTAAGTGTTTGCAGATTGGGTGGTAATTATAGATCAGATTATGCTTGTGCATTTTTACATGTATTTTATTTCCGATCTGAATCAGATTATCCTACTTTACAAGAAAAATTCATATATTAAATCTTTGCAAGAAGACATAATAAATAATAATAAAAATAAATTTGGGTTGCTTGAAGCATTATCTAACCATTGATAGTTTTGCAAGCTCAAATGGGAAAGAGCCATGTAAATTTCCATTAGTTTATGAATCTATAAAGTATTGAATTTACAGTGTTGTAATCCATCAACAACAACTTGAAGGTTTATTTAATCGCTATGACATTAAGGTAGATCCAAATATGAGTGCAGAGCTTCAACAAGTATGACATCAGATTTCTGGTTTAGATGGTGGAATTGAAAAATAACACAAGATAATCTTCACCATATTTGAAAAGAAATGAATTCTAATAGTAGTGAAGAGTTGGAAAATGAACAAGCACAAGATATTTTGAACAGTTTTCTTATCTGGCAGAAATAAATGAAATTGATAAATTTTAAAGAAAAATGTCTAAAGAATTACATTTAATATTGTCAAAAGTTATAAAGTCTATAAAGAATTTAAGAAATTAAATTTTTTGCGAGAGCAATTTTAATTAATAATTTATTAATAAATGAAAGTTTCGAAATTTTGCATTCACTAATGATTTTTACTATATGACTTGCACTATGTTTGTGATCAGCATGATATTAGACACCCCAGGATCACATGATATAGAATCAGCTCAGAAAATTGAAACAAATTGTCGACTCATATATACTATTTTTTTTGCGAAACATTATTGGTGGAAAATGTAATGTACAACTTTTTGCGAAAAAAAATACCAATGCAGTATCATGTGATATACGCGAAGAAACTTACTCTATCATATTATTAATCTATAGCGATTCCCATTTGTTATGCATCCATATGATATGTTAAAAAACTACTATTATTATTTATGCGATTACAGAAAAGCATAATATTATGATTCGGAACTAGCCATGATAAATGAGGAATAAAATTCTAACTCAATTTTACCCGTTTCTCTGCATCTTTCATTTCATGAAATAACTCATTGATTATTCTGCACAGCTTTTTAATACAGGTCATCATAAGTTAACACTGCATTGTTGATAGGTATTACATCAGGCATTGGTTCGCATATATAAACATCAACCTTCCCATCACGGTTTTGAATAACCCTTGTTATTACCCATTCGACGCCTGGTATTAGGGATATAAAAGGAGTTAGTATACACTTTTCCCATTGATTCCTACAAATTTTGTTTCATGAGCATACCGGTTGAAATAATGCAATACATATCGTCTTCGTCCAAATTGGCATCAGTAAAAGTGCGTTTTTTGGTATTGAGTTGCATAGATGCATGTGCCTGTACGGTGCTCTGACCAATTCCCCAGCTAATGTCATTTCTTTTCGCTTCAGTCACGCAGATAATAATATTGCCTATCTTTATAATCCAATCAACAGGCCCTTTACCATGAGTACCGGTGACTTGCTCTTCAGGATATATCTTTACAAGACCCCGGAAGTTTGATGCTACACCATAAATAATTGAAGAAATAAATTCACGACGGGTGGCCTCATTTACGTCGGCCCTGATGGGTCGTGATACCGTATGCTTTCTTAAAATCTCTTGAATCACTTCCTCTAAAATTTTTTTATCTAAAAAACTATCAATGAGATCGCCAGCAAATAATTTACATTTTGGTAGCTCATCACAGTTATCATATTGCAAACCAAAGAGAGCCTTCATAAAAGGTATACGAATTAAACGGTTGTTGAGCTGTTAAAACGTAATCATACACAGAATATTTGATGAATTCGAAATAAATATTTAAACTACTGCTTACATGTATCTACAACGATATTCAATTCAACCACACGGTGGTCAGCAGTCCAGACAATGCCCGCTAAATCTTCGTCTTTAGAAAAATTGATGATTTTACGTCCTGCACTTTCTACATTTTCCATATCGACTGTCGCACTTTCCATCTCACTCTGCAAGTTCAGCGTGGATTTTGAAATTCTTCTCTCCACACGACCTATGACAATATGTTCGTCTTCTGTCCCATCTGGAAATGTGAAAAATTCACATAGCTTCTTTTTTAACTCCGTCAAGGACACCGTTTCTCGAGTCACTGTCCACTGAAAATTTTTCTTAGTACGATTGTATGATGCAGTAATATGAACTTCTTTGGTTTCGGTTGGCCATTGTACGATGATGTCGGCTGGTTGGGAGGAAAAGTTTTTGCTAATCTTCGAAAGTGGGGGCAGTTCCACGCCACCAAGCTCGTCCTTGATATTAACGTTTATTTTTTTTTGCATTAACGAAGTCAAGTTTTTCGTTTTCTTTTTCGAGGGAAATGTCAACCTTCCATAGCTTGATGTCTTTGGCGTCAACGTTAGCGAAAGCTTGTGTATTTTTTTCCTTGATAGCGTCCTTGAGCAACGCCACAGTCTTTATTTGATGGGTGTCGATAACAACCTGAAAAGCATTTTCATAAGGGTTTTCACCCGCGACCAAACAATTGAGAGTGATAGTTGGCATAACGCTTTTATAGAGATTTGGCTTGGATAAAAAAAATAGCGTTATGTTCCGAAATGAGAAAATTTTATTTCTGATGGGAAAGCAAGCGTTAATATAGATTTTTATGTCGCACAGGCATTACATAATTACACGTGACTCGCTACCTCCATAAAATAATTATGAAATAAAAAACGTTGCCGAAAGTACATAAAAATTGCGAAATATATCGCGTTACTGTTACAAAAAATTATTCCTCGATACGGGATATGGAAGTGGTCCGCAATTAAAATATTCGGAGATTAATGCATACGTCTTTCAGGATGAATATCTAGAGGAATGTTATTAAACGATTCTCCCAGGTTGTTTCGAATTACAGCCTCAAGCGCACTAAGTGCCACTAACTGCTTATATGATGCCAAGAAAGCTTTGAAGGTACATGAAATCGGAAATTGCGAAGTCCTCAGCCCTTTATAAAATATGATTTGTTGTCAGTGCATTTTTCACATCCTTTTCATGAAATCATGTTTAATTAGTTTTATGGTCAATTTTATATGGATAAAGATCTTGAACTCAATTTGGTCGTAGATTTTTGGACAAAATCAGATAAATTAACCAATGATTACTTAGCTACAGTAATCAAGTAAAATTCGATTAATTGAACTTAATAATACTCAAAAATTACATTAAATAATAATAAAATAAATTTAAATTGTACAATAATTCTTGTGAAATATCTTTATATAATCATCTCATCTAATTGGCCTTCCAATTCACTAGTATCAAGTATTCGAGATACACAAATGGCTTTTGAATAAGTACTACTATGTGTTGATTGGTTATTTTCAATTAATGCTCTTCTATATTCATCTGCTTCTTTGAGTTGGTCTTCAATTCCTGGATCATCTAGAAAATCAAAAAACAAGCTTTCTAATTCACTAACATCTGGTCTACTATCTGGATCTGAACTCCAACATCTTTTCATTAAATCAATATAAAATCGGGGTGCCTCTTGCTCATTTATTTCAGGTCGAATATTTTCTTTACATATCTCTAGCATTAGATTAAAATCATGTTCTCGATTGGCAAAAGGTTGTCTTCCAGTTGCAGTAAAATACATAATCATACCAAAGCTATAAATATCTGCAGATATAGTATAAGGTTTTCCTCTTAACACTTCAGGAGCTACATAAGGCATAACTCCATAAATTTTTGTTTCATCCAAATCATCAACCTGACCACATAATCCCATATCTGCAATATATATTGTAGTATTTTTTTCATCTAAAATAAGTTTATTAAATAAAATGTTTCCTGGATGAAAATCACGATGTACCATATCTTTTTCATGAATTCTTAAAAGACCTGAAATAATGTCATATAATACAAATATTTTGTAAGACCAATCAAAATAATTATAATTCACAATCATCCAATCATAAAAATTTCTGCCTTCTGCATATTCAAGAATCATAACATAATTTTTTGTATTTGGATCTTGAGATAATCCATATATTTTGAGAACCTTGAATTCAAGATTGTTTGAATACGCTTTGATCTATCGAAATTATAAAAAATGTTTTTAAATAAATAAAAAAAATACAAAATATAAACTCATAAAATGAATTTTATACCTCATTTAAAAATCCATCACTAATGTTTTGTGAATTATGTAAATATTTTAAAGCAACTTTTGTATTAGATGTTCTTGTCCATTTATTATTACTATATTTCAATAAACCATCTCTCCATATTGCTGAATATACTACGGCAAAACCGCCTTCACCTATTAATTTAATATTGCTAAACTGGTTATATGGTATCCACTCAAATATTATATTATTAATTGGATCATCAATTTTATATTGTAATTCTTGAATGAAATTATCAATTCTTTCATCACCGCTCCAATCCAAAAAATTATTATTTATTTCATCCATTTGACATTTTCTACACCATTTATTATCTTCATTAAATTCATTTAAATATTCTTCACCGCATTTTTCGCAAGATTCATAAGAATCATTTTGCCAAAGAACAATAATATAATCATTTGTATTTGGATCCTGAGATATTCCATGTATTTCAATATCTTCCAATTCATCTTCTAAATATGCTTTAGCCTGTTTGTTAATAAAAACAAATTATCATTTATTATTCTAATTAAAATAAGTATTTAATTAAATTTTCGTACCTCATTTAGAAATTCACCAATATTACTTTGTGAATCATATAAATATTTTAAACCGACTTTTTTATCTGATTTTCTTATCCATTCCTTTTTATCATAATCAAATATTAATGGACCATCTTTCCATATTGCTGAAAATTCACCTTCTTCTACTTCATCAATATTACTAAACTGATTATATGGGATCCATTCAAATACTTTATCAAACATACTATCGATTTTTAATTGCATTTTTTGAATTAAACCATCAATTTCTTCATTTCCACTTGACCAGTTTGTAAAATTTTTTTCCAGATAATTTATTTGACATGATGTGCACCATTTAAAGTTCATATCCTGCCCATTAGTATATCGTTTTCCACATTTTTCACAATGATAATATTGAAAAACTATAATATAATCATTTGTACTTGGATCCTGAGATATTCCAAGAACTCCATCAAGTTTATCTAATGAATAATCTTTAACCTATTGGAAAAAATTTTTATAAACCAAAGAATTATGGTATTTAAATTAAATCTGTTAAAAAATTTCATACCTCATTATTTAAAAATTCGGTAGTATAATTTTGTGAATTATGCAAATATTTTAAAATGATTTTGCTATCCGGCTTTCTAAACCATCTATCATGGTAGTATAATTGGCCGTCCCTCCATTTTGCCAAATATATTGTATTAAAATTATCTTTACTTATTTCTTTAATATCATCAAACTGATCGTATGGTATCCATTCAAATACTGATTCATAAGAACTTTCCATTTTTAATCGCATCCCATGAACAAAATCATCAATTACTTCGTTCCCACTCAAATTAGTAAAAATTTTTTCTAAATAATTTATTTGACATGATTTACACCACCTATATTCATCTAAAGATTCGTCACATTTTTCACAATATTCATCATCAAGAACCATAATATATTCTTTAGTATCTAGATCTTGAGATATTCCAAATATTTTAGGAATATCACCTTGTTTTTTAATTGAATATGTTTTAACCTATTAAAAACAATACCAGAAAAAAATTAATATATTTTTTAGAACTGATTAGAAATGAAAATTTATTAGGGAAAAAAATTTCATACCTCATTTAAAAATTCATTAATAATATATAATGAATTATATAAACACTTTAAAAAGACTTTTTTATTTCGTTTCCTCTCATATCCATTATTATCATAATTCAATGGACCATCTTCCCATATTGCTGAATAAAATGTAATAAAATCATTTTTAACTATTTCTTTAATATCTCTAAATTGATTAAAAGGTATCCATTCGAATATTATATCATGATAATCAACAATTTTATTTTGCATTTCTTGAATAAAATCATCAATTTTTTCATTATCGCTCCAACTTAAAAATTTATTTTTTAAATCATTTATTTGACATGGTTTACACCATTCATTGTTTGCATTATGTGTGTATATATATTTTTCACCACATCTTTTACACGGTGATGGCATTATTACGATAATTATAAGTAAAAAAAAAAAATATATATATTGCGGATTTTTAAATCACATCCTAAAGGTCCTAAAGGTGCACATAAGACTAAATCAAGATTAATTAATAACCATTTAAGGATATTTGCTTTACGACATTATCGTTATCAAAATGATTATCACGGTACCAATTGATCAGCCGAAATTTCGATAAAATCTTGTTTAAATAAGTCACATCGCTCTAATTATTTATATTAGGGACTATTATTCTACAAATTAGAATAATTTAAGCATGATGAAAAAAAAGATACTGCGTGGGAAGATTGAAATCAGGAAAAAACGAAGACAAAAGACTGCTTTTCTATGTCCTTGTTGTGTTTAACTGATGTGATTGATGTGATTAGATACGAGATATCTTGATTTGAAAAATAATCAAAATAATCAAAATAATCAAAATAATCAATAACCAATATACAGTAATCATTTCAAAAGTTTCGATGAATTTCGACGCTGTATATCTATTTATTTTTGTAAAATAGAATTGCTCGGCGCAATTAAAATATACGTAAATTTAAAACAGACTTACGATAGTTCTTGCATTAAAATTTTGACCGGATTTAATAAATATAAAACTTAATTCCGGCCCAATTAACTTTGGCTGGATTTAAAGATTAACTATCAATAGTTCCTTATGTTATTCAGTTGTAAACAAAGTTATTAGTCAACATACCCCAGATTTCCTTTGATGCAAATTATCCGGTTAAAAATTTTTTTTTTTTTTTAATATAAATTCTAAACGAGTCGTACACTCATTGGGGGCACAATAATTTAAAACTAGATTGTAATGGGGAATTTTATTATGAATGAAGCAATAATGATGATTGCCTGGGAATTGTTAAAGAAGGGTTTATTCTAAATATGGCGTTGCGATTGAAATGGCGTCAAATTTTGTACCACATTCTGTGCATAGTACAGTTAAATTTTATAAATTTAACAATTATAATAAAAAATTTGTTTGTCAAAGTAATAAGCAAGGTGACAGAATATAGTACATACATGTTTCATAAACCTAGTTATTGTACATTATTAACCAACCTTCCTGTTAAGAATTGTTGGCATTTTTTTAAAAGTCAATCTTTGTATTCTTTGATGATTCTTTACTTTCTAAATCTTTCAGCATACAATGTTTCGTAACGCCAAAGTTAACAAAAGAAATAATTATCAAACTTTAATATTTAGATTATCTTTATATTTATTTATTTAATCTATTTCATCCATCTTTCAAGAAATCATCATTTTCCAGTATTTTTGATGCACTTTCGGCGCAGTCCGTGAAAAAGATCACTGATTTTATTTACCCGCGCAAAAAAAAAAAAAAAATATATATTCGATGACATCTTAATTAGTTAAGATTAATTTTTTTTTTCCGTGAGAAAAGAAAAAAAAATATATTATATATATTTTTTTTTTTCATAAAAAAATTAAAATTTAACCAGTATAAAAAATTCGGCCAATAATTAAATAATTGACCTCTAAAGAAAGAATTCCCCATAAAAATTATGGATCCCCAAATGCAGTGACACCAAAAGATTTACCCCAAAAAATTTTTTTTTTTACAATCGAAATTGATTGTTTTTTTGTGGGGTAGAAAGATTACAAACTTTAAAAAAATGAAAAATAAAAACAATGCTGTAATAGAATAGATAATAAAAAAATGAAGTCACATTGGAGTATGGGTGCATTAGTACATGCATAAATGTATATGCATTTACATTAAAACATGACACTTTTATTTTGTAATTTACTTTAGTTCTGTACTGCGCCATTTTTAACATACGCCATCAATTGTACGAATATTTCATTGTGAATAAATAAGTCTTAAAATAAACTTACATAAAAAAAATTACATAAATATGTCCGATAAAACAATAGGAAAAAAAATTCTTCTCACATTTTTTTAATCAAGCAATCAAAAATCAAAGATAACTTTGTTTTTTCTCTGCATTGCAGTACTTTTTTGTTTACAGTTATTTTAGTCCCGAAATAAGGTAAATTTTACTGAATATGTGATCATTGAACAATAGTCAAGTTGATTGATTTCTTTTTTCGATGATTAATGCACTTCATTATTTATTCTTTGATTTAAACTTTATTGGGCAAAGTATTATTTTTTTTTTTTTGTTTAGACTTTGGGGGAAAAATGTTAAACAATGATTTTTGATATAGAATTTTTTCGATGACATAACTTACATTTCATTTTGATCAGGTGAGCCAAAAAAATTTGTAAAACAAAATAAATAATGAATGAAATTCCTTTTGTTTCCATGTTTCTCTTGGATTCCACTTTATGAATAAAAAGTCGTGTATTTTTATGACCTTTTTTTTTTTTCCTCGTTACGTTTCGTATTTTTATTCTTTTCCTTGAATCTGAAAAAATTTTATCAATTTCGTTAAAAAATTTTATTTATTGATTCATATCGTAACGATGTCACCTTCTTGTTCGTCTCCAACAAATTCTCTTCATGAAACTTTTACTAAACTTAACAAACGTACTTTCGAAAAATCTTATCTTCCGTCTACTCAAGTTTTTTCTTCTACTTCTTCTAATGAATTACCAATTGAAGTATTTGAAAAAATCTTTAATAATTTTAACAGTAAAGGAAAAGAATATATTTTAACGCTTCATTCATGTTTACTCGTAAGTAAGGATTGGAGTTTATCTATAATGAAATTATTATACTCAAATCCATTTTATTATTTTAAAGAAATAAAAGATATCAATAAAATTATTGATACTTTATTATTATGTTTAAATAAATCAGAATTAGATATGTTATTTGAACATGGTATTATTAATTCTAATTATAAAAATAATAATAACAATACTATTACCCCTTATTATAATTATCCTAAATATTTAAAAAATCTTTATTATAGAGGATTTTTATCTATAATTCATTCTTGGATCATTACAAGAAATATTAATTCTAATTCTGATAATTATAATATTCTTTCTACTACTACTACTTCTACTCAATTTGAGATTATCGTAAGAGTTTTGTTAAATTTGTTTTTTAGAGAGAGTAAACAATTAGAAAAATTACATATTTGTTCTACTAATTTAGTATGGGATAAAAAAGAATTAAGTTGTATGTATTTATTAATGAGTAATAGTTTAGGTATTACTAGTAGTGGTGGTTTAAAAAGTGGTTTATGTACCAATTTAGATAGCATTTATTTAACTGTTGATTGTCCAATGAATAATTTTCTTCCTTTACTCTCTAAACAATGCAGAAATTTGGTATGTATAATATATATATATATATATTTATATTTATTTAATGTTTATTATAATATTTTATTTTATTTTATTTTTAACCATCTTTAAAAAATTTTAGACAAATCTCGGTGTAATGATGGACCTTCATCGAAAATCTTGTTATACTCATTCTCCTCCTCCAACAGATATTTCAGATATTAAAAACATTTGTACTCTTATCTCTTCTCAACGTAATCTTCAATCTTTTCAAATAATGTTTTCCTCAAATACATCATTACTAATTTCCGCATTATATACTCAACGTGAAACATTACGTTCCTTGGATTTTTATTGGGTTGATTTTAGAGATTGTACTTCATTAATCGAATTGACTCATTTTAAACAATTGGAAGTGGTGAAATTTAGAAATTGTTTTAATTTAAAGAAAGAAATTTGTGAACCATTACTTAATAATGATTGGGAAAATTTATGTCATGTCGTTGTTATAAATACTGAATGTTTTACGTTAAGAGAATGGGCAAGAAAAATTAATATTAAAATGTGTAACAATGGTTATAATAGTGATGAAAGTGATAATGGCAAGAAGAGTAGAAGTAATAGTTTAGATAAGAATATTAGTAGTAAAATTCTTAATAATGGTAATTTACCTATTATTTCAAAACAATTTAAAAGAAATTTTCAAATTGAAGAATAATATATATATAAAAAAAAAAAAAAAAAAAAAACAAAAAAAAAAAGAAACAAACAAAAAATAATAATATTTGTAATATTTGTAAACAAAGAAGAAGAGAGAACATTATGAAAAACAAAAAAAAATTAAGAAAAAAAAAAAACAATAATTTTTTTTTATTTTTTAACAAAGAAGAGAGATTAAGGTTTATATATAAGAAGTATTTATGAATTAAGGATCGAATAATATATATACAAAGGTTTTTATAAAAATAATTAATTATTTAATGTAGAATAATAGGAGAGTAATTATAATTAAGTTATTTCAAATGTACAAAAAATTATTTAGTTATTTAGTTTTTTTTATTATTATGATTAATAAAAATTAAACCTACAAATTCCAATATATTTTGTTTATACATCTTTTCTCATAATTTTGGTTTTTTTCATGGATTCAATATGAGATTCAACATGAGATTAGATATCAAAAAGAAATATCAACCTTTCATAATAACTTGCTGTTAATATAGAGAAAGAAATATAAAACTTTTAATAGTAAAGATATTTTAAAAGTAAGTTTTTTTAAAAGAGATGAACTTTGTGTGCAATTCGAGATTAACACTGGTTAACGAATTCCAAATGATCAGAACAATAAAAAGTACTGAATTATCCAGAATAATATTTTAAAACCATTAGATTAATTGTAGACTTATGAATTCATTGTATAACTACTTTGCCACAGTGCTACTTACTACTAACTTTAAACTGCATTAGTTATATGTAAAATAAAGTACATGAAAGTATTGAATAGTTCAACACATTCAACATTACTTGTATATTTTGAAAATGAGAAAAATTCTATTATGAATCTTCTTATTTATATAGTTACTATATATACACGCAATACATCATATATGATATTTTAGAATAAAATTATCAGGTTTGATATTATCATGATTTAAACTATTACATATTGATATTATTTTTATTATTTTTAATAAAGGCTTTGCAGATGAGTATTCTATTCTTCTATAAGTAGTACGATGTAGGAGAATATGTAAGAGGTTATTGTAATACGAAATTGGTAAAATTAGATTACATGATAAAATGCTATCACATTATTAGCGAAGCAAAAAAATTTGGGTTAATAGAATCGTTTAAAGTTGATTTTCCAAACATTTTGGTCGACTTATAAAAACATACAGTATATTTTCTTTATATTATTATTTTATTAGAAATTCCATTAAAGCAATTCAAAGCATTTATTCAAAGCATGTTCCTTTGATAAAAGAAATGACACAGATTACAAACACAATCTTATCATCATGTGTGAATACTCATTGTTGATCCTGTTATTGTTTCTTTTTTCAATCGTAATTCATTCACTATTTTGTTAATATGAAAAATATGATCTACAAATACAACTTACTATTTTTTCTTAGCATGTTTACGCATATATAGAAATGGTTTGATATTAAAGATTGATAAGGGTTTCACCCTTTGCAGGTTTTGTTTTTTTTTATAGTTAACAATGACATCTCAATATTTATTATTTATTATTAATTAATTAAACATTTCAATTTCAATGAACAATAACCGATAATAAATTAAGAAAAAAAAAATAAAATTTCGGAAAACTACTCGGATTTGTTTTGAATTTTGATCCGTGTTGATAAGTAAATTAGGCTATGATTTACATCGGATTTTTTTTTTATAAATAATAAGCAACGAACCTTTAATTCAAAATTTTAAAAAATTTTTAAATTTTTTTGACTTTATCATATTTTGTTTTAATTATCCAAGTTATAACTATGAAAGTATACGTTAAAAATGTTTCTGCTGCAGCTAGTGTATATGATGTAATTCGAGCATTATCAGGTTATGGTCAGATAATATTTGATAATTGTAAATTGGAAGCTGGTAGTGGATTTGTTGAATTCGTGAATGAAAATGATGCTAAAAGTTGTATTTCAGATGCACTGTTCGCCCCACCAAAATGCATGGGAAAACCTTTTAGTGTCTCTAAACATGCAAAAAAACCTAAAAAAAAAAGGAAGAATTATGCAAGTTTTGATGAAGTTAAATTTACTTTATCAGGTTTGGAAATGGGAAATTGGGGTGGGCGATCATCCATAATTAGCCCAAATAGTGATGATAATCCTTCCCCAAAACCATTTACATTTTTATCTGAATGGAAATATCCTGAAATTTGTGAAAATCCCACGATATGCTTCTCAAAAGCAGAAAAAGCTTATTTATTGGAAGGGTTCAGAGCATTTGATGAAACAAAACGTGTTAGAATATCCTATCGTACTTTATTAGAAGATCCATATGGTATTTTCCTTGATGAAAAAGATGGCGTTATATCACTATATATTAGTTTAAAACATCCACCGCTTCTTTACCGACAAGATAAACGTTGGATTCGAACTACCGACTGGACCCGAATTAATGATAATATATTTGAAGATATATTTGGTCGATGTTTAGTGTATAAGTTAATTTTTAGAAACGATATTGATCTGGATGAGTTACGTGATGAAATAGCTAATCTTAGGTTAATTAGTCCTCCAGAGTCCAAAAGTATAGTTCGGTGCATTGACAAATCGTCGAATTATCCAATAGAGTATTTTGAAAATATAATTCATAAGTTACCGTTTAAACTGTATTATAAATTGGCATGTTTAGTTTCTCACGGAATATTATCACTATACGAGATTGAAGAGAATAGATTAGATGAACGATTGAAAAATTTAATTTCTGGAACGTATGGTAACGTCCAAAATAATAATCAAAATCTAGAAGTAACAGTATGGTACGCGTTAAATCAGATTACGATGAAGGACTGGAATCCTTTCAATGTAGAACGTCAAGGTCGTCCAATAACAGTTTTTGAACCTGCAATAAAGAATTTTAAGGGTGACTTTAATGATTGGCACCCCTCAAATCCGAATTTTCCTTTGGAAAACAATTTTCGTAGTGTATGGGTAAATCATGCCACTATAACTCCTACAAAAATTTATTTTGATGAACCTAATTACGAGGCATCAAATCGCATACTGCGTTTATACAAAGAAAAAATCGATCGTTTTTTGCGTGTAACTTTTAAAGAAGAAAATTTTGATAAGTTATTCGTTAACGAAGAAGATGATCTTGATATAACGGATAGAATTGTTGATATTTTAAAGAAAGGATTCTATTTAGCCGAGAGACATTACGAATTTTTGGCTTTCTCATCATCCCAATTAAGAGATCAATCCTGTTGGTTTGTAGCATCAGATGGAGATTTCAATGCCAATTATATTCGTTCTATGATGGGAGACTTTAGGTAAGTGACAACTATTTTAACCTTTAATTAAATTAATTGGCTTTTTTTTTTAAAAAAAAAATTATTTTTAAATAGTGAAATTAAGGGTCCTGCATTATATGCAGCTCGCATGGGACAATGTTTTACAAGTACAATAGGAACTTTGCAACCTGAACATGTACAATATATAGATGATATTAAAAACAGAGATTATGTATTTAGGTGATATGATAATTATTAGTGGATTGTCGTTTGTGAACTTTGTTTAGTTAAAGTATTAATAACGTTTTCGTACTTTTTTTTTTAGCGATGGATGTGGAAAAATTTCACTGAGTTTGGCCGCACGTGCAGCAAAAGAACATTTGGGAACCAAAATTTCAGATAATGATGAAATTCCTTCCGTGTTTCAAATACGGTTTGGTGGTTGTAAGGTATGGAATATAAAAAAATTTGTTTAAAGTAATTTATTCTAAATTTTTTTTTTTTATAGGGGATGGTTGCGGTTGATCCAACTCTTAAAGGTGATGTTTTGTGCATTCGTCCAAGCCAAAGAAAATTTAAAGCACCTGATCCTTTATATTTGGAAATCGTGAAAACTGTGAAAACCTCATCACCTGGTTACTTAAATAGACAGATCATATTGTTATTATCAACTCTTGGTGTACCTGATGACGTATTTATCCCTCTACAAAATCAAATGCGCGACGATATTAATTCAATTATGACTGATGAAAATAATGCACGAGAAATTTGTAAACGTAATATGGGAACAAGAGAAACTTCTCACATTAAGAGTACAATTATTAGTATGATTAATGCGGTTTGTATATTTTTATCATTCATCAACTTGCTTTGTTAAATTATATATATATATATATCTCTCTATTTTTTCTTTTAAAAAAAACTTTTCAGAGAATGATGCAAGGAAACATCGATCCTTTCTTAAAAGCCATTTTAGAGTGCAAGCGTGTTTACACACTAAAGTCACTTAAATATAAAGCTCGTATTTTGATGCCTAATTCATTTCTTTTATTAGGCGTTATTGATGAAACTGGAATTTTAGAAGAAGATGAAATATATGTTCAAACTTCTACTATTGTCTCTGAACAACAAACTTCCAAGTCGAAAGATTGGATTCCAGCCAGTAAGTTTTCAATAATATTCTATTAACAACTTTCGCAGAATGTTTTTTTCTTAAAAAAAAATTTTTTTGTAGTTATTGCTAGAAACCCCTGTTTACATCCTGGAGATATTAGGAATGTTAAAGTAGTAGTTAATGTTAAAGAATTGTCTCATTTAAAAAATTGTGTTGTATTTAGTCAAAAAGGAAATAGACCTTTGCCGAATATGTTGGTATGTATTATTTGAGGACTTGTATATTAATATATATGTACAATTATTAACATTACATTTTATCATAATAAGGCTGGTGGTGACTTAGGTAAAAATTTATAACTATTACAAATTGTTGACTTCATTAAATTGGTTAATTTTTTTAATATTCATATTAATATAATTAAGATGGAGATGAATTTTTCGTTTGTTTCGATAAACGAATTTTCATACCAAGGAATGAGGAACCAATGGTTTACGATTCTCAAGGAAAAGAAGACCTGAAAAGACCAGTTGTAATGGATGATATTTGTAATTTCTTCAAAAACTTTATGCTAAATGATCGACTCGGACAAATTGATAATTTACATTTAGCACATGCAGATTCTAATTCAAAAGGTGTTAAATCTACGGGATGTATAGTTTTAGCAGAACTGGTAAGAGAATATTCTTTACATTCCTTACATTCTTTATAATCTTTTTACGTTAAATTATTTATAATTTAATTAGCATTCGCAAGCAGTTGATTTCAATAAGACTGGAATACCAGTAAAAACAAAATTACCTAATATTGACGAGAATCCGGATTTTATGGAAGTCAAATGCAAGCCTTCATATAAATCTGAAAAAATTCTTGGTAAATTATATCGAAATATTAAACTTCATGAATATGAAAGTGATCCAATATTAAAGTATAAAGAACATAAAATAACCGTTAATGATGATTTTATATTTGATGGATATCAAAAATGTATGGATAAAGAAGCTATTGTCATTCGTAACTTGTACAATGGTGAGATTCGTAAACTTATGAAAACCTATAGAGTTAATAATGAATCAGAAATTATAACAGCAGAATTATTAGGTATAAAACAGATGGAAGGTAGAAAAAATCAACATAAACGAGATGTGATTTCGGATGAAGTATCCAATATTATTAATAGATATCGTAAACAATTTTTGAATGGAATACAAGATGATACAAATAATGATAGTAATAATACAAATCACGGCATAAAACCTATTAAAATTCCCATAAATGAAAAATCGAAAGCAAAAGCATCAGCATGGTATCACGTCACTTATGATCATCCTGAAAAAGATAGTAATATTATTTTATTAAGTTTCCCCTGGGTTGTATCGGATATATTATTAGCAATCCGTAAGGAGAAACATGAAAGAACGAATTAAATTAAAAAGGTTAAACAGTGATTATTATTAAATGAGATTAAATTTTTGTATAATCTTTAGTATCCCTTTGCAAGGCAAATTTATTTAAAAATATTTTTTAATAAATTCTATAGTATTTTCAGAAATTAATTCAAAATTCTTTAAACTATCTATTGATCCACCATTAGATGCGAATCTAGCAAACTAAATTTCATCTTTCTATGATCACAGGATCTTAAAACATCAAAAATTCAATTAATTTTAACCCTTACCGTTTAAGGGATAATGAGTTTGACTGTAAAATTAAAATTATCTAACATAGAACTTTAATTTTTGGTTAATAAATAATGCATTTTATATATTTTATATATATATAAAAACTTATATGCTTTAAATTATAAGATAGCAAAACGATGAACTTTTTTGAACTTGCCTGTTATTAAAAAACCCGATAAAACTTCAATAATAAAAGCATCAATATTACTGTATAATAAATATAACACTTCAATAACGTCTCTAACTAAATTAGCATTTATTATTTTTTCTTATTACAGGCTAATCTAAAGCTAAAATTCTAAACTTTCTATTAACGTATTAACATAACCCGGAAGTAATGATGAAATAAGGGAAAATACCCTAAGAAATATATTTCTTATTCTTATTCTTGTTCCTATTTCCTTTTCTTCTTTTTGGGGTAGGTTGTATAACATAATCATCTTCGTACTCTTCTGAGTCATGTTCATAATAAACAATTTCATCAAATTTATGTCGTTCATATCTCGATTCTTCAAATCTACGCTTATATCTACTCGATGATGATTCACCTTTTGATGATTCAGCTACAAAAAACCTATTTTTATTCCTGTTTTTAATTTTAATATTATGTTCATGTTCTACTTCGGAATAAAAAATTTTTTTATATGAATCGCCGTAAGTAGCTGGTAAAAAATTAGATCTTTCACAAGGGAATTCTCTGTAAGTATCCACTTCATCTTTACATTTAGAAGCCATATCTAGATACTCTTTTCTTGTTTTTATAGGCTTAATTTTATATGTTCCATTTTTATTACTTAGTTTGCTTGCTTTCTCAATTCTAAGTCTATCTGCATATTCAATTTGATAGTGGAAATTGTATAGTATGTACGAAAATCTGGGAGGGATTATTTTTGTGGATCCATACTCATCTGCAAACTCCTGATTTTCAGCATATAAGCGATGAAGTTCGCGACGTAATTCTATAATCTTTCGTGGCATGAATAAAATCGATGATAATATCGACTCCTCATTTATTTTTGAATCCATTTCATTGTCTTGAATACGATATTTACGTTCTAAACTACCAACTCGTACTACAAGACGTTGAAATGCTTTTTCAAAATGGGAAAAAATAATTTCCGTATTTCTTGTAGATCTTGCTATATCATTATCTATTTTCATATTAAATAGAGTTAATTAATAGAATTTTATATTAATTATATAAAATAAAATATTTACCGGAATCTGAAGGATCTTGTATGCATATATTTGTACGTGGAATCTTTGTAGTCCAACTTTCCTTATCCTAAAAAAAAAGGAAATACGATCTTAAAATTGGGTAATTAAATAAATAATTATTAAAAATTATTCAACATACTTTTAAAACATATTCACCACCATCATTAACTCGAATGGCAACCTTAAAAAAGTTAAATTTTAATCCGTACAATTCGAAGAACTCTATAAGCAGTACACCTAAATTTTCATTATCTGGTATTAAAATTCCACTTCGAATAAGAGGATGAGTCTAAAAAAGATAACATAACTGAATTTTCATTCCATTTTTTTTTTTTAAAAAAAAAAAATAGCTTAAAACAAGTAAACTAAAAGTAAAAAAAAATAAGCAACTTGAACGTACTTGAAAAAAGCTAAGCATCATACAAAAAACCGTGAATCCACCCATTCCTCCATTAGAAGGATCATCAAGTCCATGATGTTTCAAGAACCATTTTACAATTATTACCATATTACCAAGAGAAGGCCATTGATCTAAATAACTTTTCATTGCTCGAGATGAAGTATAACCGGATGATTGATTAAATGAAATATCCACATTAAATTTTGTATGACATTCACGAAATTTGATGATAGGAACTACAGCTTTTGTTAATGTTATAGGTCTTTCTTCACTAATACGATGGTAATACAACAATTGCGCAATTTGCTTGAGAATATCCTGTGAATTCTCTCTTATAAAACATACAATGTCAAGATCACTATAAGGAAAGATATTATTATTAGTTTAGTATTTAATATTATTTAAAGGATCAATAATTTATACCTAGTTGGAAGATAAAGCCCTGTATTAAAACTCCCAAAAACCATAATTTCGGCATCCGGATAAGAAGACTTAATACACTCTTCGATACGCCTTATTGCAAAAACTCGCCACATGCGTTCAATATCAGTTGGGCAGAGATACGCTACAAATTCCTCAATTTCATAATGTAATCTATAACAATTGATATTATTTTTAATAAGAATCCTATTATACCTAAACCAAACTAATAACTCTTGAAAATTAAAAAGGTGTGTGATACTAATTTATTCAAAATTCTTTAAAAGAATACCTTTGAATCGCACTCTTATATTTTCGAACATTATCTTTTATTAACCATGGAACTTCTTCGTCATAGGGAGCCCTCCATTCCGTCTGATTAATCATATACTTCTTTCTTTTTTTTCTTGGATTCGTCATTGCGTCAACCTCAAATAATTCTTGATTTGAAAACACACCCATAGGAATGAAAGAAGAATTTTGACTGACAGCATCAGGAGTTGGTTTAATTTTGTTATTGACCCCAGAAGTCGAACGCTCAGAAGCATCATTTCGAAAAGTGTTTTTTTTTTCTTGAAAATTTTTTGCTGGAAGCATCCTTACAAACGTAAATATTTTATGGGAATTTGCAATAGCAAACGTTCAAACGGTCACTAATATTATTTGCGATTTAATTTAATTCTTTTAGCGGAATAAAATAGTAAATTTTGGCGGCTGTCACGTCACGTCACAATATTTAAAAATGATCGACGATGATATTAACCGGTGACAAATAATAAATAAAGGATATCATTTCTTTTACCACCTTTACAACCTTAAAAATGTCAAAACGCAAAGCTTCCGATTCCTCTTCAAAAAAATTAGTTCAACAAAAATTAACTTCGATATTCACTTCTACTAAAAATGACAAAACAGTTAATGAAAAAGATAACCCAAGAAAAAAGTTTAAACAAACTATTATTGAAAAAGAAGAAGTACAGCCCGATGTTGAGGCACCACATGAAGATACTGCAACTTCTGTTAGACAGGAGGGTCACGTCTCAAGCCATCAGAGGATATTAGACGATGACTCTGATGATGAAATATTTGAAGAAGTCGAAGCTTTAACGTATGAAGACAATAGTGTTTTACACGAAGCTTCCAATGTAGAAAGCGAACCAGAAGAATTAGTAGAAATTCAACCAAAGCTTAGTAAGCCTCATGATCAATCGAACTCATATATTATGGATAAAATTTTTTATTATTCTGAATTTTTTTTTTTTAGCGTTTCATGATGAAAATTATACACCAATAGATAAATTACTTCACGCATTTGACCTCAATTATAAATTTGGTCCTTGTATTGGATTAACAAGATTAGAGCGCTGGGAGAGAGCTCATAGAATTGGTTTGGATCCGCCTGAAGAAGTTAGAGATGTATTGACTTCTGAAGCAAAAAACTCTGAACTAAATGAATGTGTTTTTTATGGTAGAGTCTGATTTTTAGGAATATTGATCCTAACCTTTTAATTAAGGAGACACTGCAGTGTCATGTTAAACTGAATATCTCCAAATGAAATTACAAAAAAAAAAAATTACTAACATACTGTCTTTACCCGCTTGCTACGATATAAAGAATAAAATAATTTTATTTATTGTCATTTTGAACATTTTTCGTTATGTCTTGTAATCTATTTAACATTTTATACGCACATCAAATTCTATTTATCTCTTCCCTTTCATTTTTCTCCTTTTTATACAGACATTTTCATTTTGATTTGAGGATGAGGTTCATAACCAGTAATAATAAAATCATCATATTTAAAATCATCAATATTATTAATTTTGCGTCTAAATTTCAAACGAGGAAATGCTTTTGGTTCACGTTCGATTTGAGTTTTTAAAGCATTAATATGATCATTATATATATGAGTATCACCCATGGTATGAATAAATTCACCAGGACTACAACCCGTTACATGAGCAATCATATGAGTTAATATAGCATAGCTTGCAATGTTAAATGGTACACCAAGTCCAACATCACATGATCTTTGATAAAGAAGACACGATAATCTTTTCGTATTTGATACATAGAATTGGCAAAACATATGACATGGTGGTAATGCCATTTTCTTTAAATCTGTAATATATTTAAAATTTTCAATAATTATTTCATAGAAAGATAAATAGATAGTTCGATTATAATGAAATTACCAGCTGGATTCCAAGCACTGAGAATGATTCGTCTATCATTTGGAGTATTTTTAATTTTATCGATGACCTCTTGCAGTTGATCAACACCTTTACCAGTGTAATCCGTATCGCAATCAATGTACTCAGCACCAAAATGTCTCCATTGGAATCCATAAACAGGACCCAAATCACCTTCTTTTCTATGTGATAGCCCAATTTTATCCAAATATTCACGAGAACCATTACCGTCCCAAATATGAATACCTTTTTCGGTTAAATGTTTGCTATTTGTATTACCTTTAATAAACCATAATAATTCTTCTATAATAGCACGCGTAAAAACGCGCTTAGTTGTTAATAAAGGTAAAATATTATCACGTAAAGAAAAGCCCAACTGCGGTGGCGCAAATATTGATAAGGTTCCTGTTCCGGTGCGATCTTTTCTATGTTCACCATATTCTATTATACGTCTAATAAGGTCAAGATATTGAAGTTCTTCGTGTATTGGTGGTGGTGATGCCATTTCTAATAAAGACAGAATAAAAAACCGATTTTTTTTGCCAGATGAAAAAAATAAAACGAGAGAAACGAGAGAAGGATTTTCCCTGTTGAGAATACCAAATAAATTCTGTTTTCACATGTTGCTTACTCATTTAGGATATATTATATTGATCAATTAGGACATAAATCCAATAGGGGTAATAGAAAGCAAGGATTTCTGATAATAAAAAATACAATTTAATAATAATAAAAAGAATATTATCGTCTCAGAGACTAGGAAATAAAATCAAAGGGATAATATTTTTTTACAATATCAAATATGGATATTACCGTACAGCACTCTAAAATACCCGAGATCATAGTTAATTTGCCACTATACAAAAATATTATACTGGAAAGGTATGGCACGATCAATAATGCTATGATACAGGTTGTTATTATTGCAATTTAATGAACCATTATAATTTGATCCATTTGTAAAAAAAAGTTAAAAATTGTGAAGAATGATAATTAAAGAAAGTAGGGTTGACAATTTTATTATATAGTACGTAATGTATAAATGAAATGATTACTTTATTTTTTGAAAATTCAAATATAAACTGCTTTTAGTTTGGCAATTGCAATTTGAGCATCTTTTTTAATAATCAGGTTTCATTGCGTTATTTACAAGTACGATCTTTATATATTTGGTTTCGTAATAGCTCCATACCATATATATTCTCTCTTCATTTATAATTTTAAACTAATCAAGCATTTTAATAAACGATTTGATTGAATGTTTAGGAAACAAGTAATGTCGCAACTCATCGTCTTCTAAAGATCAAATTACCTTATTCCGAATTTTAAGTGTCTCTCGACTCTCAGTATGTGATTTTGTGTACACGAGTCTTAATAAAAAAAAAAGGGCACGGGAGTTTAAACGCGATCTACATAGTTGGACAAGTGTGATAATGGGTTAGACGCGATCAATGGGATATTTTAAGTAAAAGTCATGTTAAATTCAACCATTGATTACTTTAAAAAAAAAAAATGTTGGTACTTTAAGACATGTATGTGAGTTTTAACTTTTATTTTTAACATTATTTACATACAATACTAGCACAAAATGAACAATAAAGATCTTTGAACAACTTTTAAACATTAATAGGTTTCTTTTTATTATTCCACCTCTTAATATTCATTCTTTTCAAGCTTATGTTTCAAATATTAATACATCCGATATCATTTCTATTACTTTTGATTCTCCTTATAGGACTCTTCTAAAATTAATAAATATTGCCGCAAAGTCTGAAATACTAACACAAAGGATCTCTTTTTTTTAAAAAAAAAACTTATGTATTTCATATATGTAGATGTATCGTTTTTGATTCATTAAGGGCTACCTAAATAGGATAAGTGATTATATAAATTTAAAGAGAGGAGAATACGAAATCAGAGAGTCAGGAGATAAGAGAAGGTGCTAGTTATAAGTTTGCATAACGCGTTTTATATTATTTCAGCCCATCCTCTGATTAGTGTTTGATCTGTCACCTGTATGACTGTATCACTTTACCCGCATATACATAATGTACTTAATGTATAATAGTAATTAAAGAACGCGGCGTCTTTAATCAAAGTTTTGTTTAAACGATTCAATAAATGTCTTCATTTCAAGCACCAGAGGAGGAAGAACTCCAAATTGAAAACAAATATCTTAAAGAAAAGAAAATTGGTGAAGGAACATACGCAAAAGTATATAGAGGTATGGAAGTTTATAACTGAACTATGAAAAATTTCTCGTATGCTTATATATTCAGTATATAGGCACTGAACGCGCAACTGGACGAACCGTTGCCATCAAAAAGATAAAACTCGTACAAACTGAAATTGGTTCACAGGGCATCGAATTATCTGCTGTAAGGGAAGTTAAGTGCTTACGTGAGTTACGACACCCTAATGTAATTGAGGTGAGTTAAAAATTTAATCTTACTATGCAAAGATGACTTGGCTGAATCTTTACTGCAAATTCTTTTTATAGTTAATTGATATTTATTCTCATAAATCAAATCTGAAACTTGTGTTGGAATATTTGGATTCCGATTTAGAAATGATAATAAAAGACAAGAGCATCCTTTTTCAGGCTCCCGACATTAAAAGCTGGATGCTAATGACATTACGAGGATTGGATCATTGTCACAGGAATTGGATCCTACATCGTGTAACTAAAATTTTTCTCGGTTGTTCTCTTAACCTATTAAAATCACACGAGAATTAAAATAAATAATTTGTAGGATATGAAACCCAATAACTTGTTGGTGGGGAAGGATGGTCAACTAAAAATTGCGGATTTTGGCCTAGCTCGTGATTACGGAGATCCTCACGCTAAAAACATGTCCCCTCAAGTGGTTACACGGTATTGCACGCATTTTAATTTTCTCGTTATTAAGACAATTTTTAAAATGGTAAATAAATTTCTTCATTTAAAAAGATGGTATCGAGCTCCTGAATTGTTTTTTATGCCGTCTCAGTACGGTTATGCGGTAGATATTTGGTCAGTTGGTTGTATATTTGCTGAATTGTTACTTAGAACACCTTATCTTGCTGGGGAAAGTGATCTTGCACAGCTCGAACTTATTTTTAAAGCTTTGGGAACTCCTACCGAGGAGGATTGGCCGGTATTTTATAATTACGCGTCTTAAATGAAAACTTTTGTTTAGGCATATTTAATTCCTTAAAATTTTTCTCATAGGGTTTTTCTGAATTGGCTCGGGATATGAAATTTCAAAAATACTCTAGAACTCCGTTACAAGTTCATTTCAAGGCTGCAGGATCTGATGCAATAGATTTACTGGAAAAAATGTTAACTTATGATCCCAATAAAAGAATTAATACACGAGAGGTCTGTAAGGCTTTATATAGTTCTGTTTCATAAATATAATTATTATATACGTATAAGTGTATTTTTATTATAGGCATTACTTCATTCTTACTTTCGTAAGCTTCCTAGACCTACACCGCCTGATCAATTACCAAAACAGCAAAAGATTCAGGAAAATGCAATCCAGCAGAACTCCAAACCATCTATACAAAATCGAGGTGAACTAACGGAGCACAGAAATAAACGTAAAGCACAAGAAATAAGCAATAAAAGTGAAAAAAAGATTCATCGTTCTTAAATCAATTTCTTCTATTATGATTTAATAATTTATTACAAGACGAAAACGTTAGTAAGATAGCAGCAAAAAATCCCATAAATAGATTATTGAAATTACAATTTTATTTGATTCACTTTTATATATTATAGAAAAAATCATTTGCAAAAAAAAAACAAAATAATAATAATAATAATAAATAATTTTGATTATATTATTCTTTACACTTAATTATTTAAACAATTATTTAAATTAAAATTTTTATAAATATTAAGTCTATTCTAGTTTTGCTACTATAGCTTGGTACTCAAGTAATCTTTTTTTTGTTCAGTTGCCCTAAAAAATAATTGTAGAATTAATTTCACGTGATAGCACCGTAATGTCTTGAATTAATATCTCCAGTAGAATTTTGTCGAGTTTCTGGGAACAAAGAATCTGTTTCGATGGGCATTATTATTTCTTCATCAGTACAACTGTTTACATCATTGTCGTGAACTTTTTTATTGGCTCTACCATATAGTCAATCGAGACTTTTTTCCTTAGCTTTCTTAATTTGTTTTACAATTTTCTCTTCAACATTGGAATGCAACAAGAGCAATGCACCCCTAACAATTGCTATGATCCCAAGGCAAAAACCAACAACAGACCACCATGCTCCAACTTCTTCAAATACAATCATACCACTTAAAGCTACAAACGTTACATGTGATGCATAGAACATTGGTTGAAACTGCGTGACTCGATACTTATTTAATGCTAACTGTTTACAAGTTTCTTGGCCTATTATACCAATAATGAGTATAATTATTATTACTAAAAGAGAAAATATCAAAGCAAGTATTGAGCTAGTTTCATCACCCAATTTTGGTTTAAAAGGAGCAAACACCCAGACTTTTAGTAGAAGTGCTAAAAATTTAGATGCTACTACAGTCAGTGATCCAAACCCTGCAGTCATGATTACATAGAGAACCAAGGATGAATTTCCCTTTCTGGCGCGTACCATTACAATTAAGATACATTGAATCACAAGTATTGAAAACAGCCACAGAATTACATGTAATCGAGCCATATATGCGAACAATTTTGAGGTCGTTGTTAAACGGTTTTCAATATTACTTTCCGAAGTTGTTGCAGAAAATAGAATCGTTGTAAGTACACCAGAAAGAATCCATATATAACCTTTGATTTGACGAAAGCTGATTAGTTCATCTAACAAAAACTTTGCAAGTATAGCATTCACAACCACTCCCAGAATTCCAAGAGGAGTAACAACCGACGCGGGCATAAGAGAAAGAGCAACCCAATTTCCGCATAGCTCGCCTAGATAAACTAAAGAAATTCCCATAAACCATGTTCGATCTTTGAACCTTGAATAAGATCCAGGAGCAGTGGGTGAAGCAGTTGGTAGAAGTGGCTGAGAACGATTTGATAATAAAAATTTGGTATCAGAGTTGTTTGTATCTTGATCTTCTTGATCTTGCCTAAGACGTGATGTAGATAGCGCCGCACCACGCGTTAGTGCATACTTTTGTAGACAATTGCCTAAGCCGATAATTGAATTACCCGCTAAAGCAGCGATAAGTCCCCAGAAAAATGACGACATAATAACCATCCGCGGTCTACGCGGTGGTGTTTAAGTATATTTGCACGAAAAAAAAAATAAAAATAAAAAATAAAAGGAAATCGTAGTTTTTCAGTAGCGAACAATTGTTAATTTCCATTCTTATATAATTATAACCTCTATATATTTTTTTAATCAAAGTTGTATAACAAATAATTGTCCTATTTCCTGAAGTAAGTATGTGACACGAGTTTCAACGTGAAACTATTAATTTTTGGATCATCAATGCTTTATTATCTATTGTTAATCGTCAAACTGCTATACTGATATAATCATAATGGTATTCAAAAAATTAGTGACTTTGTATGTGATAAAATCGAAAAAATTTTAACCGGTGACAAATGAAAGTATCCAAATTTGGCAAAGTATTTAAAACAAAGTTTAAATTTTATTTCGAAGGAAAAGCTTCGAAATGGATCCTCTTCTTTTCACTGCTCCTGCTCGCATCAGAGTCTTGCTTGTCCCAGTACATCCAATTAAAGCTCCAACCTTTCACAGACATGTTCAATTGGTAAAAAATTTTAATGTTGTGAGACTTGGAGACGTTACTCCAGATATGCGAGGTGTTCAATGTAAGTAATAATTTTTGTTCGATTTATCGAAATTTTATAATGATAAACATTTAAGAAGATACTAGAAAAGAGTTTCATTATTGATGTGAGATCGAATTAAAAAGGAAAAATGGATTAAGAGCATAGGAAACAATTCTTGTTCAGATACAAAATTGTAATATTTCATTGATGTATATTGTGCCAAATCAAATATAAGCAGCCATGTTCAGTTCACAGCTCTTTCATGAAGGTCAGTTACATTTTAACTTTGTAACTTCTTACGAACCGGAGCATGCATATCTTGAAGAATTCCAGATGCATCGTAGGATTTTTGGGGTATGTATCATATAAATTTATAGTCCATATAATTTTTTAATTGATGTTTGCATTAATTTATTTCTGGTATCTATAGGTTATTGGTATAATGGATTGTTGTGAATGGTCAGATTTGAAGGAAGGGTACAATAAGTTTAGTGAAATAATTAAAAATGTAAGATTATAATTTGAAGTAGTTTACCATTATTGTGATATATTATTTAAATAATTTTTTTATTAAGTATCGCACTGCTGTTGCCCACCGGTGTTTTGCATTTGATCCCTCAGAAGATCAACCTGATGATACCAAAGGATTGATTATGATTCCAAATGTTGGAGAAATGAATTTTTATATGAGCACAATGATTTCAGATTTTGCAAATAATATTCTTACTGAATTTGGCAACTTAGTATGTCTTTTGATTTACATATTGTATCTATTAGATATTACTGTCATTTAATAAATTTTTTATAAATAATTTAGGCAACCGATATTGAAAAAAGACAAATTATTTATTCACCAAAAATACCAACACCAAATTCTCCTCAACTTCAAAATGGATCTAACAATCAGCAATCAAATGGACGTTATTCTGCACCCCTCCAATCATTTTCTTCCCCTGAGTTAAAGTCATCTCAAGCATTTTCACTTACACCTCCTGTTCAAGCTATGACCACTGCTGGTGTTGGTGGTGCTGCAGCAGGCGTTGCACCTAAAGAAAGTTATCATAGTAGATCATTTTCATCATCAACTTTAGTTAATATTGCTGCCCAAGCTGCTAATGTTCCAACTGACATGAGATTGAAAAAGAGAGCTCCCGGACGAATTCTTAAATTAATTGCAGATTTATATCTAATGGCTGGAATATTACCGAATGCTTTACAAAAGTAAGTAAAGGTAACCTGTTGATATTCTTATTATATAATATGTTTTAATTTAATATCTTTTTAGTTATATGCTGGCTATTGAAGCCACAAAAGCGAATAGCGATTATTTATGGCATGGATCAGCTTTAGAAGGATTATGTGTTGTATTACTTCTCGCAGCCTATCTTCATGCAGAAATTGGGGTGAGAAATTTAAACTATCACGCTTACTATTGACCAATTATTTATTTACTTTATGATTATTTTTTATAATAGCCTCCTATCATTCAATCTCAACCTCTTGCTTCACCAACTGCAACTGATCAACCACCTTCATCTCCAGAATCACCCAAAGTTCTCTGGGTAGAAACAACTGAAAAATATGTCCAAGTTCTTACATTATATGCCAAAACTTCGAGTTCTTCAAATGATCAAGTTCCTCCCTTAATTTATACCGAAGCTTGTTTGAAAGTTGCAAAATTGTTAGCATGTATTTGGGTAGCGGGTGGATGGGGTGATGATGCGCTAAAATTAATTGTTCATGGGGGAACTCCTGAAAAAGGATTAAATGAAAAATGGGGATTAAGCTCCGTATGCGGAGTTTCAAAAATTGAAGTAACTCAATGGGCAATGAAGGGATACGGATCTTATGTAGAAGATATGAGTATTACTGAACAGGTATTATTAAATAAATACTTTTTTTAATATTTTTAAGTCATATAATTAACTTGAATATATTTTTAGATTCATATAACAACTACTTTATCTACCATCTTTTCAATCATTAACTTTCGTCGAAAACATGCATTTTTCCTTCGACAAACAGCTTTGTTAATTTTACCACTTATTGCTAAACCGCGTAATTCATCACCACAAACTAATAAACCACCAACTGGAAGCGAAAGTGGTTTATTAACTTGCTTGAAAAAAGTTACGGAGACTTATGGAATAGGAGGTAAACATATTTAAAATTACATTAAACGGAGGTGAGAATTTTACGTTAATCAATGTTACTTAAATCTAGATGATGTCGACCAAACGGATTATTCTGTGATGGCTGAGGATGCACGGCCACTTACTTTTGGATGGCCTGATATTCAAATTGATGTGTTAAAGGATGCCTTAACAATTTCTGATTCTCTTCCAGGTATGTAATATCAAATTTCTCCCAAATTCTAATTTACAGAATTTATCTAATAAATTATTGTTTAAAAAGATTATCCCTCTATGGTAAAATATACAACAAGGCTCTTGCGTAAACTATTCATGTATTTACACAGAGACGAACAAATTCGTTTATCTGCATCAATTCCACGTATTGTTAGTGCAGGTAAAAAACAAGGGTTGGATATGGAATTTAAATACTGGGGTTTGAATGTCGTCAAAGGAATTCAAGTATGTCGGTATGTAATAAAGAAGATGAATTTTCATTTACATAACTAAAATAATTAAAAATTATTTATAAATAAAATTAGTCCTACCTCAAGAAGAATACCTTATCCACATGCTGGTAAGAAGTTGTCCTTAAAGAACGAAGAAAAGAAAGAAGGTGTTAGTCCTTTTATTTATCAGTCTTTCAATAAAAAGAAAGCAGATAATACTCAGGTATGAATATTGAAGCTATATCATTATTTTTATGATTTATGTATACTTTCATTAAATAAATAAATGTATTTATTGTAGATACATTTAGTAGCGAATGAAACTTCATATTTTTTGGTTACTTTAGCAAATCCTTTTGCGTTTGATTTGGATATTCAAAGTATATCAATAAGGTAAGCATTTCTCTTTAATATTATACAATGAAAAATAGATATACACTTCTAAAATTCTTTATTTATTAATCTAGCACCGATGGCGTAGCTTTTACACCTAATACAATGTCAATCACCATATTAGCTAATACATCTATAACATTAAGGCTTCTTGGGACTCCAACTGAACCCGGAGAGTTGATTGTCAGAGGATGTAAAATAAAAGTTCATGGTTGTTTAGAACAAGAATTTTGTGTATATTTACCACCAAGTGATGAAGAGATTAAAAGGAAAGAGAAAGAAGAAGAATACAGTAAAAGAATAAAGAAATGGTATGGGTTAGACCATTGCCATTAAATATTTTATAATTTAATTATTTAATTCATTCTATTTTTTTCATAGTGGCTTGGCCGTGCTAGATAATTTAAGTCACACAACTAACAATCAAAAAGGTTTGTTTTAATATATGCCTTACAATTTATATTATTAGTGCATAAAATTTATTGAAATTTATCCATCTTATTTTATTTTTTAGATAATGCTCAACCTAATGATCATGAGAATTCACAATCACCTACTAAAAAAACTTTTGTTCCAGGGTTTTTAAAAGTTTCTGTCATTTCTGAACAACCCTTAATAAAAATTAAATCCACTTCATTGATGCATGGTGCAATAATGCTTTTTGAGGGAGAACAGTGAGTATATATGATGATTTTTCTAATTTAGTTTATCTTTATAACAAATTAATAATAATAATTTATACCACGTTTTAGAGCTGAAATGACAATAAAACTTGAAAATGTTGGTAAAATTCCAGTTGATTTCTTAAGCTTATCGTTTAGTGACTCAACTATTGCCAATACACAAGCATTATTAAATTCATCAGATATGCCAGCAGAAGAGGCATATGAAATGGAATTATATGCACTTAGACAGTCTGTATTTTCTTGGAACCAGAAAGATAATGTCAAAATTTTACCAGGAAGTGAGTGGATTGTTAATATCAATGTATTTGGAAAAAGAGGATGGTAAGTTAATCAGGCATTAATCTTGGTTTTAATTATATTATAAGTGACTAAATTGTTTTTAAATTTTTTTTCTTAAAGTGTAAACGGAACTATACAAATAGATTATGGATATCTTAATCGACCAAATACATCAGATGATGAACCATTTTATACAAGACAAGTACATTATCCAGTATTATTAACAATTCATCAAAATTTAGAAACAATTTCAATGGATATACTTAATTTTAAACCGTTATGTGAAGGAGAAAACGATGGAGTAGTTAATAGTTGTTCTGATAATAACAAGTTAATTGAGGATTTACTTAAAGTTATGAAATGGAACAATAAAGGTACAAAGGAAGATTTCATGGAGAAAATGGAAAATGATTATTGTTTATTAACATTTGATATAAGAAATGTTTGGCATGTTGGATTTGATGTTACTATTGAAGCTGATGAAGGTAAGGATTCAGAAAAAATTTTCTGAATTTTATTGTAGACCTTTTTTAAAATTATTTATTTTATTAGGAGAAGAAATTGACCCTTTATCCATTACTACAACTATTCAACCTACTTCAACTGCACGGTAATATATATATTGTTGTTAATAAATTTTATTTTCAATTTAACCAATATTTCTCTAAATATAATAATGATATTAAATTTAGAATCATATTACCGATTAAAAGAATTTCGCTTTCGGAAAAGGAATATACGCAGCCAATTCCTTCACTATCAGAAAAACAATTTGTTGTTTCCAAAGGACCCAAAGGAACTGTAGAACAAGAAAGATTAGCTTTGGCATTATTTTGGTATAGAGAAAAATTATTACAGAAAATAAAAGCAATATGGGAATCTGTATCCTTTTACTTATTTTATCAAGTATTTGTTTAAAAATTTTTTAATAATATTATTATTTTTAACTAATCAAATTATTTTTAATAGCAATTAACAAATCAAAAAGGAGTGGTTGACATTAGATCATTGAGGTTAAATAAATCAATGTTAAATGTATTGAAAATTAATGAAATATCATTTGGTATTGATATTGAAGATGGATCTAAAGTAACCAAACTATCTTGTAATCAATTTAAATGTCCCGTTAATGAATTTGTTAAGATGAAATTTATTATATATAATCATCAAGGTATATATATTTTGGAAATATAGATGTTGAGGAGAATTTTTATTAACTTGCTTTTTTTTATATTATTAATAGAGAAACCAAGTAAGTTATGTATACGAATTCAGCCTGTACAAAGTTATAGTGACGGTATAATGGAATGGGATTTATCTAAAAGAATGGTTTGGAATGGATTATTACAAACTCCTTTACCAAAAGTATGTTTAAAATTTTTATCAAATAATTACATAAAATATTTTATTTATTAATCAATTTTAATTTAAATAGATTGAACCAAAATCTTCAGTAACATATACATTACCAATATGTTTCTTTTCAAGAGGAGATTTTAAATTCTTATATCACTGTGAGGATGTTAATTCAAGAATAATGTATTTTGATACACAACCGTTAGTTGTTGAAGTTGTTGATAATTAGTATGGTTGGAGAATATGTTATATTTTTTTAATTAATTTTTTATAATAAATTATTTTTATAATAAATTAAGTAATACACATAATTTTATTTTAGAAAATTGCAATTTTATAAAAATTAATAGTAAATGACTTGTAATTTTTAAATTTGTAATTATTATACCTAATTACTGCAATTAAAATATAACACCTTTTACTTAATTTTATTTGGCTTTAATTATAACTGTAAATTACATTTATAGTGTATAAAGTTATGAAGTTATATAATAATTAATTTTTTGATGTTAGTTGCCAAATGCTTTCAACCATCAGTACTATAAACAGCAAGTTCATACAATTTAAAACCACCATAATGTAATTGTGTAAAGTTAAAAAAATTATTGAGCAACTCATAAAGGAAAAAGACAGGTTTATTCTTAACTTTGCAAAAAGCACAATTGATTTTCTAATCTCAAAACTTTCTTTTGTTCATTTAGAAGAGTCTCCAGTTCACCATGTTGAAATTTATTTTTTAAAACAATTTTGTATATGCTTAATTGCCCGTTTAAGTTTTTTGATCTTACTTTCAAGATCAAGATCATTATTAGTATTATCGTCAAATATTATATTGAAGAATTCATGAAATTGACCATTTTCTTTCGCCTTTTTAGCATTTTTCTTTAAATCTCTTATTTGTTATTTCTTCTCTTCAATATCTTTCTTTGTTAGCGGAAATCATAAGCTTCATTTTATTGCATGCTCGCATACACTTTTTGATGTCTACTATTCTGGTCAACTTTTTTGATTTCAATGTCCTTTTCTTCAATAACTGCCTCAAAATTTTTTAGCTGTTCATTATCAAAATAATGTTGCTCTTTAATCATTATATTTTTGTTTATATGAACTATTTATGAAGAAAGATACATAGCTGATTTCTCCTCCAAAATTTGCAGACCTTCGATTATAGAAACTCATTCAAGTTACAAATGATATGACAGAACATGACTGGCATAAATAACAAGATACAAATATACAACATATAATGTAAAATTTCCAAATCACTTACTTATTTCCATTTTTTTTGTGAAAGAAGTAAATATATTGAAAAAAGTAAGAAGTATATTAAAAAAAATCTACGAGAAAAAATATAATTTATAATAAGGACTTGATCACTTGATCGTATGACAATTTTGATGATAATCAATACAAACTATATATCTTTTATATCACATGATCTGCATAATTTTGTCTCTCTTCAAATTCTCATACTATAAAGATGGAATCATCAATTTGATAACCAGGAAATTAAAATAAATAATAATGATGAAAAAAAAGAGAAAAATGGTACATTCAATTTTAAATATTTTATTAATTCTCATTCAAAACTAAAAAAAATTTATCTTGCCAACAAGTTATTTATTGTTTATAATTTTAATTCATCTTGCCAAAATTCTACAAGTAAATAATGGATAATTAATATTTATAATAATTATAATTATATTTCCTTTAATTAACTCTTGTAACTTACTAGGTAATTTATCACCAGGAGTAAATATCCTTTCAACACCCTGTTGAGTGATTACAGCTAATCGGATACATCCACCCGAAGAACCATCTCTTGAAATCGCCAGTGCAATAGCTACATAAAGAATATGTTGAAAAGGGTTGGTTAAATTATTAAAAATATGTATATTATATATATATATATATATATTCTAAGAAATTAGAAATTACCAGTTCTGACAAATTCTATAGCTTCTTCTCGAGTCATTCCTTCTTTGTAAGCAGTATCACAATAACCATAGATATATGTAGAACCACTTCCTCCAATTGCAAATGGTTGTTTATGCAAAGACCCTCCTAGAGGAATAATATATACGGAACCTCCTTCATATTTGTCCCATCCTGCAACAATAATACCAGCAGTCAAATTATCTTTATTCTGATAGCATAATTCTTGAAACAAAGCTGAAGCGGATTGTACTGTTGGGTCCTCTCCATCTTTTATCCTTTAATTATATTTATTAATTAGTATTCTTTTAAATCATAAATAAATTTATCTTTAACTCTTAAATACAATTATACTTACGCGAACATCTCTAAGTAATAACGGACAATATCAGCGATCGCCTGTGTATCGGCTGCGCTACCGGAACGACAACAGAAAATTTTATCATGAACTGGTGTTAATTTGTCTGTTACTCGATTGGCAATGTAAGCTCCAGTTGTTGTACGACTATCTGCTCCGATAATTACCCCATCACCAAATTTAACTGCCATAACCGTAGTCTAATTCGTATAAATAAAAATAGATTAAATTATCATTTTAATGATTATTGAACCACAAGTGATATATGAGTCAAACATAATTAATATTGAATACGAAATGAGAATTTTAAGTTTTTAAGTTGCAATTCTTAATTGAGAAATTGAATAGAGAACTTTGAATCCTATTTGAACCATATTTGAAAAGGCTTACCCCGAGATTAACTTCGCCAGCTTTTAAAGGCATCGCGTAAAAATTTTAAAAATCTTAAAAATTTTAGGAAAGCTTTTGACTTGTCGAAGTAGCAAAAAACGACTTACGCAAGATCATTTCATGATCATGGGCCGATCGACAATCCATTTTCCATAAACTTACATTACGTAATTTGTCCTTAAAATTTTTGACATGCCGATCTACGAAAGGGAAATTGATTTAGTATGTCAACGGAAAATCCTGTACAGAAAACTGACAATGCTTCTAGTGATTCGGATCAATTTGAAAATGAGGAAGGAATTAAAAAGAGAACCCATAAATATAACCTGACACCAGCAGAAATTCAACGTCAACAATTAGAAAAATTGTTAAAAAGGGTGGATAAACCTGTTAATATTCCTGAAATGGTAGATAAGCCAAAATTAAAACCTCCAAAAGATATTGTTAGAAATGTACAAGGTAATGTTATAACAATCATTTTTAATCAAATTTAATTTATTAAATTGGATCTTTTTCAGGATCTAGTGCTGGTGCGGGTAGCGGCGAATTTCACGTTTATAGAGCTCATCGACGTAGAGAATATACAAGACTGAAGGTCATGGAGGAAGAAACAAAGAAGGTTTAACATCTCATATTCTTACAACAATTTTGATTCATTCCGATTCACTCAAACATTTGATTCATTTAGGAGGAAGAAAAACGAGAGTTTGAAGCAAAGACGGCGGAAATTAAAACACAAGAAGAAAAGAGAACAGCAAAAAGGAGAGAAAAACGACAAAAGAAGAAACAAAAGAAAAGGCAAAATACTAAAAGGACAAAAACTGAAGAGATTAACAAAGACAAACAAATTGAAACAAATGATAATAATAAGAATATAGAGTCAAAAAACGAATCTTCAGATTCGGATTCAAATAATGAAGAATGATATTAAATCCTGTGATTCAAAAACAAAATGACTGTCGTGAAAGATCAGACGAATTTATATCTTTCATAAAATAGTTAAATATGGACTGTTATCCAAAATTTGAAGAAAAAATTATTTCTAAAATTTAGGTCTTCTCTTTCTTCCTGTGTATTTAGAATCAAACGGTACATCTTTTTTCCCACGCGTACGAGCAACTTCTTTTTTATGCAAAACCCAATCCCTATTTTTGACCGATTTACGTTGTTTTCCCTTTTGTCGTTCACGAATTCTTAAAGATGTATTAATATACATTTTTGATTAGATCATCATTGAGGATTAATTATAAATTTCAAATAAAATAAATTTATTTACAAACCTTTGATTTGAATATATTACATCGTGTTCTTCCTTTTCTTCGCCTAAAGCTTGTGGTATTTGTTGTTTTTGTCCACCAGGAATTTGTCCAGCAAATAAACATAGATAATATTTTTTTGCTTTCTTACTATTAGGATAGTCTACCACTAAACCACCTTCAAACCCGCATCGCATTGCCACATTCATTATTAATTCACATTGATCATCGTTTTCAGGATATAATTGAAATACTGCACGAGCTCCGCGTTTTAATGACGCATATAACGTTGAGAAAAAACGGGTTAATCGAGATTTTGGATTATGTGATTGTTGATCTGCGTTACAAAGCCATTGTAAAACAGATATACTTTTATCAAAAAAAGGGTTAATGATCAAAATGTTAAGATCGAACACCATCTAAGAAGTATATTTACCTTATCGCACCGTCAAATGTGCCCGGTCGAAAATTCATTCCTTGGCCAATATCCTGTAAGAATAAATCACCTTCAACTTCTCTATCCAATGCAACTTCTAAGCAACAAATCATGGGTCAATAGTAAATAAATACTATAAATATTATAGATTAAATCCTTTATACTTACGTAACATAGAAGGAGAAATATCCAATCCAATCCATATATGACCCTCATCGTCTAAAATTTCTCCACTTAGTCCTGATCCACAGCCTATATCAAGTAAAAAACATGTTTCATCTGGTAAATTCAAAAGTTCAAGAGCACGTAATGACTATAAAAATTAATAAACAATTAACATATTAATCCAATTCATGCTCGGGGAAAAAAATTAGAGTTACCATTTCGGCTTGAACACTTTGTATTCTCGAACTGTAAAAAGGATGAATCATGAATTGAATAGAATTTAAATAGAAATTACAAGTAAACTGTGTAATTTGAATTAAATTTGAAATTAGGGTTTCCTACTTTGTTGTATATTTTCTTGCTTCTTCTTCATTATAAAACTATTATAGATAATAATGAGTCAATCGGAATTTAATTTAAATTAGCTAAAATATAAAAATGAAATGAAGGAAAAGTTACAATTTCTGGAGGAGCTTTATGTTCCGGCCGAGACATTGTACTTTTAAACGAAAAAAAAATGTTTGCGAATTACGAAAATTTTAAATCTTAGAATTGACCAATAGGATGATTTCATCAGTTCAATTTCAACTGACCAATAGGATACAGCATGTTATCTGTTAGTTATCTGCCGTTATCAAAAAAAAATTTTTTTCTTCGAGCAATTAATAATGGACTCAGATACAGACAATTCGATTATAGTTGAGAATAAGAATCCTACGATAGATTTTAAATGGGTATTTCACTTGTATCGGTTTTATTTCTTTAAGATTTAATGCAATAACTTGCATTTTAAAAAAAAATTTTTTTTTTTATATAATATATGTTTAGGTCGAAAAAGCTATCAACGCATTATTAAAACATGAAGTAGCTCAGCCAAAGAAAGTAAATAATGATCTGTTATTAGCTGATCAACCAGTAACTATTTGGCTTACTGTAACAACATTCAAATTTTCTAATAAACCCAAACTTAAACCCGTGAGCATGTAATTATCAATTAATAGTAATTAAATGATTAAATACTTCCAATAGTTAATATTAAAAATTTTGTGTTCATTTCTGCCTAATTAGTCCGTTAAAACATCCTTTATACGGACCTTCAACAGAAATTTGTTTAATTACCAAAGATCCGCAAAGAATATATAAAGAGTGGGTTACAAACCATAAAGTTAAACGTATTCAAAAGGTAATCTCAATGAATCATATCCATTTAGTTTTTGTTAGGATAAATTTATCTCATATTTCATTACATTATTGTTTAAGGTAATTGGAGTATCTAAACTTCGTAAAAAATATATACCATATGAAGCCAAAAGAAAATTATGTGATTCGTATGACTTATTCTTGGCGGATGAACGCGTTTTACCCCTTCTTCCAAAAATGTTGGGGAAATATTTCTTCGGAAAGAAAAAGTAAATATTATTATAATTTTTTTTTTAACTCCATCTTAAGAGATAATAATTTTTATTTTATGATAGACAGCCAGTCCCAGTGAACATAAGTAAGGAAACAAATTTCAAAAAAGAAATTCTCAAAGCCTGTCATTGTACCTATATGCACTATAGTTCAGGAGTATGTTTGTAAGTCAACATATCTTTTTAAATTTACATTTTTATTAAAAATACTCCTATTAATCGTTCAATTACAACGGTAGATCCATTAAAATAGGCACAACAGAGATGACATCAGACCAACTTTTAGAAAATTTAGAAATGGCCATACCAGTAATTATAGATAAAATACCAAGAAAATGGAAGAATATTCAATCTTTATATATAAAGACGCCAGAATCTACTAGTTTACCTATATATAATCGTTTGCCAGATTTACCTATTGAAATTCCTAAAGATATAAAAATAAAAACTTCTGAAACTAAAATTAGTGGTGGAGAGAGTGAGAATGAAGGTGAAAATGAAGATGAAATGGACGAGGATGATGAGGATTACAATAGTGAAGAAGATGATGAGAAGAATAATGAAAATAAGATGAAAAATGACAAAGATGATGATAATATGGATGAAGACAAGGAGGATGAGAAAGATAATGAAAATAAGATGGAAAATGATGATAGTACGGATGAAGATGAGGAAGATGAGAAAGATGATGAAAATAAGAAAAATGACGATAGTACGGATGAAGATGAAGAGGACAATACAAATAAGAAAAAAGAGGAGGAAAAGCCGGTTAAAAAGAGGAAAATCTCAAAGGAAACTGGTGGTGTAATATTTGGCTATGCTGTTCCTAAAAGTAATAAGAATCCACAGGTAACCTAGGTTTTAATACATAAATTTTTTGGTTCGTGATTTGTCACTAGTTAGGTTTAGCTTAAAATTTGTTTAAAATGGACTTCATTACTATTCAAACTAAAGTCAAAAATGCTTAATTTAATTTATAGGTGAAAAACGGTCCTAACAAAAAAGACAAGGGAGATGTTTACAAAAGAGAAGAATCCAGTAGTTTTGCTAATACGGAAGTTACAGTCAAAGCCAAGAAAAGTAATATGAAAAAAGTGAGAGGGAAAGCTAATGGTGCTATAAAAGAAGATATTACGGGAGACCCTAAAAAAGCAAATGTTAATTATATTAATAAGGACGAAGAATCAAATAATAGCCAAGCAAATTCAACTATAAATAAACGAAATAAATCATCCAATATTATGACTACAGATATAAGTGAAGAAGGTAAGAATGATCTTTTGAATAAAAAGATATCAAGCTTTATTGCTGAGCAGAAAAAAAAAACGATGGAACAGAAAAAGGTAGATTCTAGCAAAAGCGTTAATAATGAAGCTTCAAAATCTGCTGCTAATTTCGGAAACAAGAAAGTAAAGAAGAATGTACCAGAAAAGGATACCAACAAAACAAATGTTAAATCTGTTGGTAATTCTGGGAAATCTGAAAAAAAGGACAAGAAAGATGATAAAAGTGTTAGTTCCGGAAAAAAGAATATACTTGATAACAAGAAAGGGGGACAAAAAAAAATTGATGCTGATTTGGCAAGCAATAATAAGCAAACTTTTCTTAAGAGAAAGAGAGAAACTTCTGGTCATAATAAGCCTAATAAGGAAAGTGTTAAAATAAATAATAGTGCCAAAAAGAACAAAAAGAAATAAATAATTAAATTATTAGAATGTAACGTTGATAGAATATGCAGAATATGACATAGTGAATATTTATTATCTTAAAGAGTTTTAATTTAATAGTATATCGTTGCGCTTTAATAAAATTTAAATTTTTGATAGTTACAATCGGGATAAAAATGAATCGTGTAAACTTACCCGTTATCTAATCAATAATCATCTTGATCGGCAGAATGTGGATGATAATCTTATCTTACCAAATAAAGCTGATAACATATAAATCCATCCTTCTAGACTTCCATTCTTTTCTGTCATTAATAAATTATGATGAGTTGCAGCATTCTGACTAGAGCTTCATTTAAAAATGTTAAAAATGTGATTCCATATATTATTAGGGGAATTTCATCAACATCAAACTCAAAACAGGTTCAAGCGATAGATACAATTGATATACGACATGATCTTAAACATCGCGTAAAGGTATTTATAATCAAATTTGTTGAGTATTATCTGGATTGTGTTTAATTCTTCAATTGATCATTTGAATTAAGGAAAAAATATCAACAATCGACAAAGAAAGACCTTTTAGCAATTTCCTAACAGATCGATTTGATCGACAACATACTTATCTTCGCATATCGATAACAGAACGATGTAATTTGAGGTGTAAGTTCGAAACTTATGAATTATATTGCTTGAATTTAAAAGTAATAGCATCAATTGTTATAGGTACTTATTGTATGCCAGCCGAAGGTATCGACTTAACTCCTTATCATAAGTTATTATCAACTGAGGAGATCATTAGAATTGCGCAACTATTCGTTTCTCAAGGTGTCAATAAGATTAGGTTAACTGGAGGTGAACCAACTATAAGAAAGGATATTGTTGAATTAATTGGTATTTAGATTTTAACTTTTCATCGCAAGAACAGAAAAAATCAATCGATTTGAGAAATTTGATGCTGATATTTAATTTCATATTTTACAGGCGAATTAAGTAAATTGAAACCACAAGGCCTACAAACTATTGCTATGACATCAAATGGTATTGCGTTGAAACGCAAATTACCAAAATTAGTTGAAAATGGACTGAATTTACTGAATATAAGCCTCGATACTTTGAACCCGTATAAATTCGAATTGATCTCAAGACGTAAAGGTACACGAATTTTATATTTGTTATAATTTTTTATGAGAAAGTATTTAATCCGCTCGAATTCGATTTAGGTCTCGAGAAAGTGTTGGAGACGATTGAACAAGGAATTGCATTAGGACTTCGTCCTTTAAAAATCAATTGTGTAGTAATGCGTGGTGTGAATGATCAAGAAGTGCCGGATTTTATCGAATTGACACGTAATAAACCTATTGAAGTGAGATTTATCGAATATATGCCTTTTGATGGTAAAAAAATTTAAATTTGTTTGTTCTCTTTTGAGTCACATGCATGATATTTACAGCAATTTTATTTTATTTTTTATAAGGAAATAAATGGAATAAAAATAAGCTTGTTTCGTATAGGGAATTGTTAAATGATATTAGAACAAGATATAATGACGTTCGAAAGTTATCGGATGATTTACATAATACTTCAAAGGTATGTAATGCATTTTTTTTTTCTACTTCATTAGACCAAATTGCTAATAAAATCCAATTATTGTTTATAGACGTATTACATACCAGGTTTTACTGGACAATTTGGTTTTATAACTTCAATGTCTGATCATTTTTGTGGAACATGCAATAGACTTAGAATTACCGCCGATGGTAATTTAAAAGTCTGTCTATTTGGCAATGCTGAAGTCAATTTACGTGATTTATTGCGCGAAAATGTTCCCGACCATCAATTGTTAGATATTATAGGTGCAGCTGTTAAAAATAAAAGGAAGCAACATGCAGGTATGTTTGAATTGGCTGGAACAAAAAATCGGCCAATGATTCTTATTGGTGGATAAATATAAATTTCAATTTAGTTTAACAAAATACATACAGGTTAGTATTTTTAACGCGTCTTTCATTATTTTTATTTTATTTTATTTTATTATTATTCTTTTTTTTTTTATTTCATTTATTGAATAATTTATATACCGAATAATAAACAGTTTGTTGTCCTTTTTTTCTTGTTTTAAATTATTTTAGATTTATTAATAGATAATAATAATAATTACATGACGTTAGCTTCATCAGCGAAGAATACCTTTTTATATAATAAGGTTGTATCCAACAACATGTCATTATTTAATCATTCTAAATCACATTTTCCACGTTCCTTCCGCAACTTTCTCCCTTCTTTTTATCATCAAAATATTATAAACCAATCACTCCTTTCCCTTCGTTCATCATATTCTACTAAACCTATTCCACAAAATTCGCAATTATCTTTATTCAATAATATCGATTTAAATTCTAAATCAAAACATGATTCACCTTCTTTCACTCATATTGATCCTGATAGTGGACGTGCTTCAATGGTTAATATTTCAACAAAACATTCAACTTATCGTACAGCAACAGCATTTGGAAAAGTTCATATTGGGCGACAAGCATTTGAACTTGTTCGTACCAATACAATGAAAAAAGGAGATGTTCTGACTACAGCACAAATTGCTGGTATAATGGCAGCAAAACAAACAGGAAATATTATACCATTATGCCATCCTATTTTGTTATCACATGTTAGTGTAGATTTAGAGTTAGATGAGAAAGATAATTATTCTGTAAAAATCATTTCAAAAGTTGAATGTGAAGGTAAGACAGGTGTTGAAATGGAGGCTCTTACAGCCGTTAGTGTAACAGCGTTGACAATTTTTGATATGTGTAAATCTGTGGGAAAGGGAATGATAATTGGAGATTTGAAAGTTATGGAAAAAACTGGTGGAAAAAGTGGAATTTGGAGATTTCCACAAAATCAGAGTGATAATGATGATAATGGTAATAATAATAATTTATAATTCTAGATAGAAAAATATAACAATGAATAAAGATTTGAAATTTTCATTATGTTAACATTTTACAGTAGCTCGCATCAAACAAAAATTTATTTATTAACCCTTAAGATAAAACACCTAACTAGGTTATGAAAGTCACAAGATCATAAATGAAATAAAATTTTCATTTTAACACGTGATTCAGTAGTATCAATTGTGGGAAATTTGATTGACATAGTTTTTTTGATCGCTGATTAAATTTTTGTGCGACATATTGGTTTTGTTTGCTTTATATCTTCAATCATCCTCTTGATTACATGATGTGTTCATATGGTTATGACAAAATATCCATATTTTAACGGTTATAAGGGAAAATCATTTGTTTATGTTTTATTTAGAGAAAATAAAACATTTTTGGAAAATAATGAATGAGCCATTGATCATTATCCTTTAATATAAAAAATGGGCGGGAAAATAAATTGTTTACTAAACATGTAAACTTATAGTAATATAAAATACTATTTATTTTACTGTATATGTAATATGTTACGCCCACAACAATTCACTTTTATTGTAAAGAAACGCGACACTTTCATCAGTTTCCTCTCTTGTTTGTGATGATCATTGATTTATGCAAATGACCCGAGCCGAGTTCATTGAATCTTTTTAAAACAATACGTCATACAGAGTATTCATTAAAATGAGTATTCATTAAAATATCATCCTTTTAAGGTTGATTAATTTATTCAATCAATTCTTACGTTTCATACTCAAAAAAGTTTAATTAGTTAACTAGTTATAGACAATTCAATCACAAATTGTATAAACCTGGTTAATGTATAATCACGTGATATTAAGAAGTTTTTATTAATAATCAAAAAGATCTTTTTTGATTGCTTTAATAGTTATAATTACAACAAATAACAAATATTAGTTTTTAACTAATCAATTGAATATAAACAATAACAAAAATATTAAAATTAAAATAAAATTTCTATATTATTAACAAGAGAAAAAAAAAAAAAAATAAAATGTTTATACATATTTTAATTAAATCTTTCCAAGTCTCTTTCTTAATGCTCTATTTCTCTTTCTTAATTTCTTGAGTTTATGTTTTTTCATTTTCAATTTTCGCTTTTGAAGAATATTTGATAAACGTATTTCTTCATTTTCTGCTTCGGAATTTATTGATTGTCCTTGTTGTTTTACACTATCTACTTCTAATGATTCTTTAATTGTTGATTTTTGTTTATTTGATAATTCTTCCTCTAATTGTTCCTTTTTTGCCTTAAATTCTATTTCAGACAACCAATTAACTATAGATTTTAAATCTGTATCAGAAGACATTGAAATTGTTGATTGATTGGAATGAAATGGGTATAAATTTAAATAAAATGAAATAGGGTTAAACGGTGTCGGTGTGTTAACGCTTGATCCGGAATTTTCTTCTTCGTAATCTGATAAAAAATAATAAAAGTAAAAAAAAAAAAAAAAATACAACAATTAAAAAAGAAAAAAAAGTCAGATTGAGAAATCAAGCAGAATTAAAAAGATTGAACGTATTACTACGAAAAAAATAATGNAAAAAAAAAAAAAAAAAAAAAAAAAAAAAAAAAAAAAAAATTTTGACATAAATAAAATGACAATAAAAAAAGTAGATCAGAAAGTAAACACGATGAATTCGCGAATTTATTAATAATAAATTATGCTGATTTACCTTCTTCTTCCAAAGCTTGTTTGTTTTTTTCATTTTGTTGCATTTGCTCACTACCAAAGCTTAACAATGGTCTATGCTCTGCAAAGAACGTGCTTTGAAATAGCTCTTTTGGATGGATATGATTGACATAAACAAAAGGTAATTCTTGTTTCTGTGGTGTAGTAGGAGTGGTATTGTTTTTCTTCGTACTCGAAGACGAAGACGAAGACGAAGACGAGGATGAGGATGAGGACGAATATAACATTACTACTGGGCGATGAAAAATATTACGACCAGCGTATTGAAAATTGGTCGACAATCGTCGAAGGGGCAACTTTGATATTAACGACATTATAATAAAGTTAAAAATAAGGATAAAAAAATTTTCTTAAACTTGTTTCTCTCTACTTAAAAACTAAGGAAGGTTGTTAACAACTAATGAATGAAAAAATTTAAGCCACTATTAAATACAGATTTTCTCACGTTAAAAATTGGCAACGTGATTTTTAATATTTTGTTAATCGTGCTTTTTTGTTGGGTCACTTGATTCACTTGTTATGTCACATGTCATTAAAAAAAAAACTGAATGCGAAAGTCATGAGAGTCATGCACCTCGGGTAATAGCGTTCATTGTAAACAAAGTAACTGACATATTAGAATACTAGACAATTTGATTGTAGAAAAAATCACGCAATCATCGCATGATGATATGTTTTCCTTTAATTATGGCCAAAATTATATTTTTGCATCACATTCGGCTGAAATTAAGTAACAAAATTGTGTGGCTGGTAAGAAAACTGATAACGTGAAAATTTAAAAATAACTTATATATAATTATGTAACGAATAAACGAATAAATAACAGATAAATATTATACTATTTTCTATTAATCTAATTTGGTAATTTTACAATGAATAGTATATAAAATTTAGTTAGTAAATATAAAATTAGAGGTTATTGTCAAACTCTGAAAAACTTTTCAAAACGTCAAAAACGATTCCTTTTTTATCACTATTTTTTTATAAAACACTTATTACTTTTACAATAGAAAGAGGGATTAAAAATAATTTGGCATTGTCCTTGTATAGAATAGAATGTACGACTACATAAGCCATATCACTTTAAAATTGTTAATTGTATTTTTATAAATAGTGCCCGATTTTTTTAACTTGTTGGTAAAAAATTTATTTTCCTTATAAAGGAATAGTGTTTTTAGTTCTCCTAATAAAGTTACATAATTAAAAACGCCCATATTAAAATGATAGTTTTTTTTACCCTTTCTTCCTTCTTTTACGAATTTGTCATTGCACATATTTAGTTACTTTTAAATATTTAAATTTGTTTTGTGTCATCCATGCGTGTAATTTATGTCCTTTCCTATTTACATTTTTCACTTAGGACAAAAGTAAAATTACGTTTGATATTCTATCACAAATTAAATTATAATTTATTTTGCGTAATCATGAAATCCTTGGGTTCCCTGCAAAATGAGGATAAATTTTTCTAATTTTGTTGTTCAATGTGCAGAACATTAATCCAATTAACTCGTGTTTCCGCTGCACTAATATAAGCACAACCAAAAATAAACTAGTGTCCTACCAATTATAATATGATCAATAAATGCAAAGGACTCGGAAACAAATCCTTGAGTAAAATAATTTTCTTTCCCCTCCCCCTAAAAACAAAGTGTGCAATCGCCACTAATAAAGCTGCGCTAACCAACAGCAAAGCTTCTTTCCTTTATTCCATTAACACTCTCTTTCATTCTCCCCTTTAAGGCTTAATGCCAATCCAATTTATTTCTTTTTTTCTTTTTTTCTTTTAGAGTAAAACTATTTTTAAAACATAGAGTTTAACCAGTGTATATAAAGGGTAAGTTTGAACGATTAGAAAAGGATTTATTTGTTTCATATTTCTTAAAAGGTCTATTACATTTTATAAACAATACGAATTGTCATAATTGACTATTATTTACACATATATTATATTGTTTTGTTTTTGTCTACTTATCCGTTTTAAATATTTCTATTTACATATTGTAATTATTCAACAATTCTTATATTTATCATTTTATAGAAAGGTTTTTTGTCCATAATACATAAAGATGCGTATCATACCACTTTTAGCATTCATATTTGTTTCTACGTCCCTTCTTTCAGAATCATATCACCGTGTAGAGGCGATTGGGGTAGATAGTAAGTCACATGGTTTATTACATGGTGGTCAGGTAGTACGTCGGTATGGTGCTGGTCGTTTTGTATACAGAGGCCTTCAGGAAAGAGCCGAACCAGTTCCTAAAGATATCAAAGGTCCAGATCCAAAAGATGATCCAAAAGATGTTAAAAATCCAGCTCCAAAAGACCCAAAAGACCCAAAAAATCAAGATCCTCCAAAAGCTAAGGAACAAGATCTTCCAAAAGCTAAAGATCCAAATCCTCCTAAAGATCTAAATCCTCCTAAAGATCTAAATCCTCCTAAAGATCCAAATACCAAAGGTCCAAATCCTAAAGATCAAACTCCTCCAAAAGATCCAAAAAATCAACCTCCAAAAGATCCAAGTACTCCAAAAATTCCAGCTAAATCACCACAAAAAAACGATAGCAAAGAAGCTGACGGTAAGAGTTTGTAAAAAAAAAAAATGGGGTTTTTTTTCAATAAGCCAAATTATTTATCATCTCGTTCCTTTAATTTTAAAGATACGACAGATAATACATTACCCAAAGATGACAAAGATGACCCAGACCAAGCTGCAGCTCAAGCCCAAGCTGGTAGTACTCCAACAGTTAATACTGGTCCTCTTTCATCATCAGCCATTGGTGGTCTTGCTGCTGTTGGTGGAGTATTCGTTTTGGTGGGAGGTCTGTTTGCCTTTAGTCAGCGAAGGAAAAACAATGAAATGACAAAAAGTATCGTGTCCAGCTCAGCTAAAGCCTGGGAACAACAAAATTCCGCATATGAGGTATTGGAAGAGGAAGCCAAACCATTAGGCTCATATAAAGTCATTGCAACATATTCACCAACTTTGGCTGATGAATTGGATATACAACCAGGAGACACAGTCACAATATTGGTTGAATATGACGATGGATGGGTACAGGGTATTAACGAAACACGTGGTGGAATAAAAGGTGTTTTCCCCCGTCATTGTGTGGATATGAATCGTGCCTCTAATAAAGCAAATAAAAATAATAAACGATCAAGTTCTATGGGAGGATATACGGAAAGATACACAGAAGTGGATCTTAGCTAAGTTCTTAGGTTACTTTACAATTAATTCTTAAAACCTTATCTTCACTCCTCCTTAATTGTTGGCAGAATAAATTTTATAAATATTCTCCGTCCTCATCCTCGTGCATACAGTTAATTTAATTATATATATAAAGCATAGCATTAGAGCAATAAATGACATAATAAAATCTCATCATTCATTCCAAAATGCTTCATAGTCTAATCTAATATATATTTTCGGTAAACATTGAACTAAAATTACACATTACGCGGGTTTATAAATTTTCACTATTAATTTCATTTTAACGGAGAAAAATAATATAATTTTTTCTCTTTTGTGTTTTGAATTTTTTTTCTTAATATTAATTTTTATCTATTTGTTTCTTTCCTTATTTTTGTGTTTGGATACTAATTTCAAAATTATATTTCACACCAACTAATGGTTGTAATATTAAAGGTATAGAATTTTAATATATAAATAAACAAATATTACAATTTGTACTTATTTACTTGTATGCCTATGATATAAATATTTAAAGTAAACGAATTTTGCTATTTAGAATTCTTATTAATCCTATTTTAATCCAATGCACCGAGCTGCTTCTCATATATCAGGTGATAAATACGAAACTCATATCTTCAAAGAAATCTTTGTTTCTTTTTTAATAGACAAATCTTCACAATCTTTAAAAATTTTAAATCGGGCATTCGTTTTCTGCAAAAGATAATTCATTAAATTATTCACTTTTCAATTTTCTATAAATTTCACTTTCTATATTCACTGAGAATAATGCCCAAAGGAATTTGGTAAGTATAACTTTATGATTAAATTTGTTTTAGCTTGACTAGAAGTTGTAAAGAGTACAAATTTAGAAATGTCAGGTTAGGGAGTGGTTAGGGCCGGCATTAAGCAACTTTTGTAAGAAATTAATAGCAGAGAGAAGTTGAAGGATGATCCTTTCTTTTTGAAACTTTTGTTTTTCTTTATTTAGCAAATCAAATAATTAAAACGTTTTAAAATATTTGCGTACTTCAAACATAATTAAATGTGTACCAATCTGATTACAATTTTTTAAATCGTGAAATAAAGTGCTGTACATCTTTGGAAGCCAATCATGGTTCTTGGAAATGTAAACTTTATAAACTAAGTCATTTTTACTGCCATTTCCTTCATCCCTTACCAATTAGGCAAGATGTATTTTGCTGGTCAACATTTTTTTTCATGTCTTTTACAACTTGTTAAAAATTATCATCTGGTCTATTTGCCAATTCCAATGCATACCGAAGTATCAGTATCGTTGCAGGTAACTATATAATTCAGATCACCCGTTCGTGTTCCGTAATCCGAACGGGATTATACGATTGAATCCGGACCAAAAATTTTTTTTCCCATCAGCTTCTGATATAATTAAAAAAAGTTACACTTGTAGTTTTTTAAGTAATATACTGGATCTCTATTTCGTTCTATAATTAATTTTTGAATCCAGATAATTTTATGCAACAATGATAGTAATAATATTAAAGATTTATCATAATCTAATAGATGTTTTCAGCCAACCATGTGGAACAATCAATCGTCGCATTTAGCTAACATAAAAAAACCAAAAGACCGCATCTTTTTTTATTAACGGAGGGTCTTTTGAGCAAATTCGGTCTTATTATATTAGGTCGATATGGTAGCTTTTTCGAAACCAGTTAGTGAATTACCTCCGGCCATACAAGCAGTTTTGAACCCGACCTCCAATATAGGTAACTCACGGCAGACACTAAATAAGTCTAAAGCAATAGTTTCGATTGCTTTCATATCAATCGCTGCATACATTACGAATTATATTTATAAGAAACAAGCGGAGAGAGCTCAAACAAGACCTTCTTTGACACGAGCTGCTAGTAGCAGGGCTGATTTATATGATGGCCCCGTTCCTGGAAATAAAAAATATACCCTAACTGTCCCTTATAAAAATCGTACCGCAAAAGTTACTGTTCGTCCGACTCCACCAGAAACTTTTAAGAAACATAAAAAACTTTTTCCTCCCCCTACTACTGGTATTCAGAGGGTTGGTGTAAACAAGTTATTTTTTAGACAACTAGCTGCTATTATTAAAATAATACTTCCAAAAGTTCGGTCAAAAGAGGTTTTTATCTTGTTATTACATTCCGTGTTTTTAGTTTTAAGAACATGGTTAAGTATAGTAGTAGCAAGATTGGATGGACGAATTGTTAGAGACTTGGTAAGTATTAATGAATATTTCGTTTTCAAAATTTAGGGATCGATCTCGATATAGTTGCTTAATTTATACAGGTTGCAGCAAATGGTAAAGAATTCCTTAAAGGAATAGCATATTGGTTTCTCATTGCTATCCCCGCAACTTACACCAACAGTATGGTAAAGTCATTTTTAATTAATACTTTTTTTCTTTTATCGTTATTATTATTGTTAATCATTATTTTTACATTTGATATTATAAATAAATAAGATTCGATTTTTCCAGTCAAAATTATCTATCGCTTTTCGAACGCGATTGACAAGATATGTACATGATCTTTACATAAATGATCAAAATACTTGTTATAAAGCTATCAACCTTGATAATAGGATCGAAGGTGTTGACCAGTTAAGTTTAAGTTTTGTTTTTATTTTCTTAAGTGGTTTAAAATGTAAATAAATTGACGGTATTTTTTTATTAGGTTTATCACAACTGATATTGCTCGCTTTTGTGATGGGCTTGCTTCATTGTATTCAAATCTGGGCAAACCAGTATTGGATACGATAATTTTTAATTATCAATTAGCAAAAAGTATTGGTTTGTATGGAATGCTGGGATTATTTGGAAATTATTTATTAACAGCATGGATTTTAAGAAAGGTTACACCATCTTTTGGAAAGTTAGCAGCTATTGAAGCAAAATTGGAAGGAGATTTTCGTTCGGCACATACTCGTTTAATTACAAATGCCGAAGAAATTGCTTTTTACCATGGAGCCGACTTAGAACATTCTATTTTGGAACGTACATATCTTAGATTAGTTAAGCATATAAATTCCATCTTAAAAAAACGTATTGCATATAATATGTTTGAAGATTTTGTTATTAAGTATTGTTGGAGTGCTATTGGACTTTTAGGATGTTCCGTGCCAGTATTCTTCCCAGCTTATGGTGGACAAGGTGGAAAAAATGAAATGCAAAGTGGTACTGAAAATCATGGAAAAGAAAGAGATCGTACAAAGGGTTTTATTACGAATAAGAGGTAACAATAACGATACTTTTTTGCTGATATTTAACATATTGTTAATCATTCTTTTATTTTCATGTTAGACTTATGATGACACTTGCAGATGCTGGTGGTCGTATGATGTATTCATATAAAGAACTTGCAGAACTCGCAGGTTATACTTCCCGAGTTTATAACTTGCTTTCAGTCCTTCATGCTTTATACGCAAGCGAGTATGTTGCTACCCCTCGCCCACTATCTTTCCCAGAAGATCAAGAATTCTATTCACTTGGCGATATTCGTGGAAAGGTTATATATGGTTACGATGGTATAAAATTCGAGGGAGTTCCCATTGTCGCACCAAATCCGGGAAATAAGAGAGGTGGTGATGAATTAATAAAAGGATTGGATGTAGTAATAAATCCAGGTGAACATTTATTGATTACTGGACCTAATGGAGTCGGAAAATCAAGTGTTGCAAGAGTCATTGCTAGATTATGGCCCGTTTTTCGTAAGTTTATTTTATTTTGTTCATGTTTTTAACAGGAAATTTCGGTATTATTATGCTCATGATTACCATTCAAAATATATAGGTGGTGTATTTTCACGTCCAGATGTAAGTTCTATATTCTATATTCCTCAACGGCCGTATCTTAGTATAGGTACTCTTCGTGATCAGTATGTACAATGATTTTATTTATTAATTGTGAACTACTTTTCAAATTATATTATTACTTATCAAGTCTTTTTTATAGAGTAATTTATCCACATTCTCACGCTGATATGATCCGTAATAATCGAACAGATGAAGAGTTAATGGATATATTACGCATTGTCCATTTGGATAATATTCCAAAACGTGAAGGCGGATGGGAAACAAAAAAAGAATGGAAAGACGTTTTCTCTGGCGGCGAAAAGCAGAGAGTAAATATTAATTTATTTTTTATTTTTTATTTTTTTACTTAATAAATTTTACAAAAATTCCTTTATCCTATTTAATCAGATTGGCATGGCCAGACTTTTTTATCATAATCCTAAATTTGCAATTCTTGATGAATGTAAGTGTACGGTATATATTGCAGTTTTATTTAAGTTAAACTATCAAATAACAATTATTGTGAAATAGGTACAAGTGCTGTCAGCTCCGATGTTGAAGGACTAATGTATCAACATGCAAAAGATATTAATATCAGTAAATATTGTTTAATTTAGTAATACATATATTATTATTTGTTGAAAAGAATTTTAATAATTCCCTAAATAATTTTACAGCTCTTATTACTATATCTCATCGACCGTCTTTATTCAAATATCATACGCATCTTTTACTTCTTAGTGGAGATGAAGGGTCATGGAAATTTGAAACAATTGGTACAAAAGAAGAACGTATGTCCTTAGATAATGAAGTTGCGGCTCTGGAAGCTAAACTAAAAGATGTAGAATCTAATAAAGCTAGAATCGAAGAAATCAATAAGGAATTACAATTGGGAATACCGGAAGATAAAAAGCAAAACATTGTGGATTAAGCTGGTATTTAAGAGTCCTCTTTTATGTGTGACATACGAATTTAATATGTGGTTTTTTGTATCTATATTTTGGTTTTTTAGATCTTACCTATTAAGTATTCTTTTTCATATTTAAAACAAGTAAAATAATAAAAATAGATACAAAGTTTTACTACTAATTAATAATAGTGTTAAAGTTTAGCTTTTATAAAGAATGCAATAAATTTGTATCACTCTTTTCTGAAGAAAATGTACATAAATTACAGTTTAGAAGCAAGAACTGATAAAATAACAAATAATGTGGCATAAATTAAATTTTTGTACTAGTACAATCAGCTACAATCTTGCATAACTAGGTGTTGAATACAATTTTTGAAATAAATACATTCTATTTTATTGTTAGGTTTTTATTATTATAAAACTCTACAATTACATTTTTTTTTTTAAAAAAAAAAAAAAAGAAAAAAAAGAAAAATTAAAATATAATAATTTATAAGAATTTTGTTCTTGTCTAGATATTAAACAACAATAATCTCTTATAGTAAATTAGAATCTTATTTCAAATATTAATTGCAAAAAGAGCTTCTTTCCTATATTCAAATAATATATAACGAGAAAATTTCTTTTTGATATGAAATAACTTTATAATAAAAAGAAATATAAATATTATAATTACCATATTATTAATTATCATACTTTTTCTTTATGATCTCATCATCCTCCGTACTTCATTATATCTTTTAGTTTTACTTAGTTCCATTAATTTCTCACAATTAGGCATTTTTATTTGCTGAGCCTCTTTTAACTTTTCTTCATCACGAAATACCCAACCACTTGCTTCATTTATTTTTCGATGTCTATAAATTGCCTCATTATTGCATTGTGATGTTAACGACTTAACATATGTAACTTCAACATTATCTTCAACTCTCTGTAATTTTCTTGGATTTTGCTCGAATGATGAAAATGATTTTGGATCTACAAAATATTGAACATTTAATAAATTTGTATATTTTGTATGCGTATGGTGGCTGGTTTGTTGAAGTGAATATGGTGGTATTGGTTCCGGAATTGGTGTCAGCCAATTCGATGATAATGAAAATAAGAAAAGTAAAATAAGTGGTAATAGTTGAAGAAATGTAAGAAATGCCGATGATTGTTGTTCTTGTACACCGTCTCCATTAGGCGATGCTCTTTGAAATCTACGTGCTCTAAATCCTGGTCCAACAAATGTCGCTGAATGAAATCCTAAATAATTATGGGAAATTTACATTTAGTATTCTTTATTATTATTATTATTATTATTATTATTTCTTTGTGAATGTAGGATAAGAAATAAATTTTTATATACCACTGTCTGTATTGAAAAACATATTAAATATTTCTTCAGGTGAAATATCATCAGCAAAAACCGCTCCATTTGCGTTAAATCGTGCACCTCCAAACCCTGATGGCATTCCAGTATTACGTGAATCCGGATCAATCCCATTTTCGTCAAAGGCTGCACGCTTTTGTGGATCACTTAAAACTTGGAATGCTTTACTAACCACTAAATTAAAAAAAAAAAATTTTTTAAGAAAAAGGAAAAGGCCACTAATAAAAAATACTAGAGATAAACAAAAAATAAAAAAAAAACAATTCGGTGGAAACTAACACTTGAAAGCTTCATCTGCTCCCGGAGCACCATTCTTATCCGGATGCATCTGTAACGCTAACTATTGTTGTTCAAAGATAAAAATTACAAGGTTAAAAATCTTTTATAATGAATGTTTACTTCAATAAATTTCAAATTAGAAAAAGAACCTTTCGATAAGATTTTTTGACTTCCAAATCGCTAGCATCTTTACTTATACCAAGTATAGCATAAAAATCATGTACTCCACAAGCTCTTATTCGTTTGACAGCATCAACTTGTTCTTTAGTATATTCTTTAGTTTGTCTTCCTTGTTTATGTTCTCTAGAAGAGCTTGACGGTGAGGGCGGTGTAGGTGAAGCTTTTCTATGGTGATCATTTTCTTTCCCAGTTGTTTGTGTTGTAGTTTTATTATTCTCAACTCTTTTAAGAAAATCTTGAGCTTCAGGCGTCGGATATAAATTAATAGATTTTTGAGCAAACTTAATTGCTACAGCTATATTTCCTGAAGCTAATTTGCTTCGTGCAATTTCCAAGCTCCTAAGTGCTTCGTCTTTGTTGACTTCCATTTATTATCATAAATCTTTTCACTAAAACTGTTCCACTAACGAATCTAAAAAAGCAAAATGTTTTTAGTTTATATATTGCCACGTGCATTATATCGGCGGTTAAAAAATACATGGATAATTCATGGATTTTTGTACCAAAATTATATATAGTTGAATAGAACTTCAACTATCAGAATAGCAGTAAAAAAAAAAATCTTTTACGATGTCAAATATGCTTGGTAGAGGTAGAACAACTTCAGAATATATGATGGACGATGAGATAGAGCCCGCCGAACCGCCGCCTCCATATTCAGAATTTCCTACAGAATCATCGACGGATATTCATAATAACAACGAACAATCCACAAATGAACATATTCGTGACCTTAATTCTTCAACACTTGAAGCTTTTTCACCGTCGCCACATTTTACACAACCACCTCACCCAAATATAAGATCTCACTTTCCTTTTCCCAACGAATATTCTTTTCCTTCTTCTATACCACATCACATGACGCCACCAAATTTACACTTACAATTACCTTTTACACAATTTTCACATACTAATGTTCGAACTCCTTTACTTCCTACGACATATCTTCCTATGCGCTCTCCTATCAATGAGGCTCACACCTTTCCCCCTTATCATAGTCGCTCAAGAGGGCCTATAGAACGCGTTTATTCTACTTCACATCACGCTACGACACGACAAATTATTGAAAGTGAAGATGACTGTTGTTGTACGGCACCTTGTGAAATATCCGCGTGGGGCTGTCTAATATATTTAATTTTATTTTCTTTACCATTCGGATTATTTTGTTTTATATGGATAATAGTAACGAGCATTGTGTGCTTTACTACTCTAATATTACCACCATTAGGATATATTGTTTGCTTGATTACTGCCGTATCTTACAGGTAAGCATGCAAATTTCTAAAAGGATAATCTTTTGATTTTTCTCAAATAAAAATTTATTAACACAACTTTTTTAAAGAATGCTTGGCCGAATTGAACTTATTACTCAACAATTATGCGGCGGACAGCCGCGCTTATTTCGTGAATTAGGATTTCAAGTATATCCTCCAGTATTTTCCTTAGATTCGACATTTTCTCCTTTACAGTCTCAAGGATGTTTTAGTTCGTCATTAAGCTATATCACGGATGCATATACTCGGAGATGTTTTATATACTTCTTGATGATTAAATTTTTCTTGAGTATTATTACTTTTATTGTAACCATTTTTGCTGTAATATTTTCTATACCGCTTGCTTTATGTTTACTGGGACCTGCTTTATATCTAGTGAAGACTATAGGTGTATGGCAAAAAGAAGTGGCTTTTGAATTCTTAGCATGAACACATTATTATATATTTAATATATTTCTTTTTACATTATTTATTATTTTGTCACTATATTAATCCTATAAAATTGCAAAGATTGTAAAAAAAAAAAATAAATAATGACTAAATGTATATAAATTAGCCATTTTGTCATTATTTACAATAATATCTCATTAATTATTATTAATTTATTACAAACCTATTATTTATTATAGCAAACAAATATTAATTTTCAAATTTAACAAAAGTATATTTAGTACATATAATAAATAATACACTATGATAGCTTTTTATTTTTATTCTATAATTAAAATACTAAAAAAAAAATAAATAAATCTTAGAATAAAAATTGACCATAAAATAACATGATCATAAAGGAAAATTACTATAGTGTAAACAATTAAAAAAATATATTTAAAAAAATTTTTTTATTCAATACCTAAAAATCTGATCCATGGATTTTAAAAGTTTTAGCAAAATCCAGATGCCTCGATACCAATTTGTTTACCGGAGGTGACAAATTCATTGGCTTTAAGGTATTTTGTACTTTAGATAAACCTTCGGATCGAATTAACTTATTAATATTATAAGCAATAGCGGTTGGATACTGATTAAAAGCATAAAGAAATGAATAAGATGATTAATAAGACGCTTTAGATCGTTTAAATTTTCAAATTTACTTACAACTATCTCATGATACCATCGCTCGTAATAAACTGTTAATTTAACCACAGCTTGCAAAGCGCGTTGCACATCTCCTTCATCTGCATAAAATTCCAATAATCTTAACCATGCCTTCGCAGAGAATTTATGTTCAAGACAACGTTGATATGCCTCTTTTGCATCATCCTGTAAAATTATAACATTAAAAAATTCGGGTTATATTAAACTCTTAAGATACTTTATTGCACAATGTAGAATAAATCTTACCTTGTGATGCAATCGTGCAGCTAAATCTCCCAAAATTTCCCATTCTGTACCAGTTTTACGATAAGACATGTGATGAGCCTTATAATGAGAAACTTCAGAACGCCAAACAGTATATACTCTTAAATCCTATTGAATAATATTTATTTTTCAGTATTTCTTTAAATTTGACAAACAAAGTTGTGAAATCTTACCTCATATAATACCATAAAAAGATTATCAAGCCACCTAAAATATGTTATTAATATTTAATTTAAACATAATGATCAAAATTTTCAACCATCCCAATCTACTACAAACCTTTCGCACAATCTTTTGTTATTGAATGAAAAGGAATAGTCTTTCTTTGATGTGTCCTAAATATGATCAGAGATAGGTTTAGGTATTAGCAACATTTTAATTATTGCAACTATAACAACATATTGAGTACATGTTTAACACCTTAGATTGATCATCATTATGTATACTTTGATTATCGCTCTTGTCCTCGTTAGCTGCTTGTAAAGGCTTTTCTAATTCAGGGCCTTTGAACTCTATTACTGAAGTAGTTTTAGATTTATTATTTGGATTGTCATCTAAATCAACTTCCTCCATATTTTCAGAATTAAGTGAACGTCCATCTGCAATTTTCAAATTAGAGTTTTTCTTTTCATCGTTATCGTTCTCGTCTCGACCATTGGTCACTTCATGGTTTGATACAGCTTTTTCATCAGCATTTTCCGATCCCTTTTCCTTCGTATTCTCCGAACCATCGCCATCTAAATCATCAGAAATAGAGATAGTCTGTACAGACTGTGATAAATCATTTACTCCATTAGTTTTCGCGTTGGCAGCTTCCTCACTCTTGATTTCTTTTTCTTGAGGTGGTGAAGTATTGACTATTTTTTGGCTCTTCCTCTCTTCTTCTGCAGCTTTCTGCATACGATATTCTTCCTCCATCACAAAAACAGATGATCGACACTTTAAAAGCTCATCCCATCCTATTTTCGCTACCAACTTTGTCAACAATGAATATGCCTTAGCAAATGTACCGCGAAGAGATGGTGCAGGAAGACGTAAAAGTGCAACATCCGCCTTCATTAAAATAAAAGGAAGAAATGTTAAAAATGATCCAAATTAATTTTCTTCGTAGCAATTTAATATTTTATACTTTAATTCATTACTTCATTATCACGACCATTATCTTCTTCAAGAAGTCCTGCATTAACAATATCTTGTTTGATTGGTAAATGTGTCTTTGCTGGTGATGGCATGCGATGCATATCTCTCTCATTGTAAGTAAACATTGGGCAAGAATTCAATGTCAACAAAGCCTTTAAAAATCAAAAAGTAAATTTCATTTAATATCGAATAATTATGCAAATAGTATATATGTGTATGTATGTAATATATTACAGATTCATAATCTCCAATTTCAATGTAAACTTCCGTTAATTTTGCCCAGGTAACGAATTCCGAAGGTGCACAATTTACTGCTTGTTTTGCAAGTTTGAGTGCATAATCCGTTCTACCCTAAAACGCGAATATCACGCTATTAGATAGTTTTAATTTTGATTCATATTAAAATATAAATAATACAAACCTTGCTCAACAGGAAATCCGCCTGAACATGCAAAAGTGCGTAACTCATCGAGTTTTGTTTCAATGCACCATACAAAATGTTAACAGATTTGATTTCTTCATCTAAAATAAACACATATAAGCTAAATGGTTTTTATCAGATTAATATATTTCGAATTATATCTACCCATTCCAATATATGCCTGAGCCAATAATGATGCTACTTCAGGATCTCTAAGATACAGTAAAAAGGAATTAAGGATATGTATTGTTATTTAGAACATAGATTATTTTACAACGCGTTCTTATTTTAAAGGATATATTTTTCAAATAAATTTACTGCTCGCTCATATCTAAAATTTTCACTAAAGTATTTCATAATTCCAGCAGTTAAATGATTGCTGACAACGGTGGCTACTTGTATTTCAGGATCAGAACCAAGTTGCCATCCTAATAAAAGATAAATTTTTTTCCATCATTTACGTAGTCGTAAAATAAAATTTGATAATGACACCCTTCATAGTTTCTACCTTTAAAAAAAAGTTGTTCTGCCGCCTCCAAAAAATGAGCTTCAGCTTCAATATTAGGGATAGGATCCAATTTTCGAAAACCAGCCAATCGGTAATTGACATCGTCTGAATAAAGTATGGAACGTAAAAGAGCAGAAATATAGGTTTCTTGCCAAATATCAGGAGTTGCTTCATGTCTATATCACAATTGAAAAAAAAAAAATATATTGGAATATATAAACAGCATGGTTGGCTAGGTTAACATCGTAACGTACTTTTCACCACGTAAATCCATTACATAACTTTCCACGCCACCAGGGATCTTGACTTCAACACGTACATCCACTCGTGAAAATGCATTAAAACAACTAGAATAAAAAGAATACATACAAAAATTATTGATAATTGAAATAAAAATGAAAAAAAAAATCGAAACATACCAGTACACTCCAGAACGTATTCTCCAAGCAGACGATTTAGTAAACCAAGCATGGGTTTCTTCCTGAAGAAGAATTAAGAAGATTAGTTAGTTGTTTACAATTTGGTTTTCGTGATTACTGATCAATTAACACAATAATTACCAAAGCGTATGTCAATGAATTAAGATATGCTGCTAAAGTGGCAGAAGAAGAAGCATCAACTCCAGAAACATAGTGGTATGAACCAACCTAATGAAATAATAAATTATGATTAAGTAGGATGAATTTATAAATATCACATATTAAACGATGCAAACAATTAACCAGTTACAAAACTGATTGATAAACAACTTCAACATTGGTGTCTAAATTAAAAACACGACTCACCTCTTTTACACCAGGTTTTGCATTAGCCTTAGTAATATGACATAGGTCAGGGGGACCAAGTTCACGAAAAGAAGCTACAAAAATAATGGAATTCTATTTTTAGAAGCAATGTAAGAAAAAATCAAATGTTCAATTTTTTTTAAAACAAAGCCACTATTAAAAGATGTTTAACATAAAGTTTTTTGCAAGTACCTAAACTTTCAGTCCTGGCAACCAAAGACTCATCAAGTTGTGTTTCAAAGAACTCTGGGACATCTTTCAAAGTATCCATTTTTTATGGATACCGATGACAATTATTCTACCTTTGTTTTCACCCAAGCAGTCTTAATAGTCGGTGCGCATATCAAGCAAATCAATTAGTGAAAAAAAAGATCGACATTATGCATTTACTAATTTCCTTAGAATAATATATTTTGTGATCTATCACCTAAAAGGAAAACTCAAAAACTAAAAAAAAAATTACCTATAAAAAACGTGAGGGTAGGCTGATCCCTAAGTAATTTCATCTAATATATTGAGTTGATTTATAAATTATTTTTCGAAGAATATTATTAGTTCATATAAAGAAATAAACTTGCATAATTTCCGTTGCATCAGCACGGTACATGATATATTTAGTTTTTTAGATCTTAACATGCCACATCTTCGATTATTTTGATTTTGTTATAAAACCCTGAAATTTTCCCTTCGAAATTTAACGACAATGTCTTCTTCCAAAGCAATTAGTAACCCTACACCTTCAGGAATCGTTACCATCGATAATAATGAACGTGTTATACCAGCAACGAGACGAGCAGATGGTACAGTGCGAAAAGAACGACGGGTACGGCCAGGTTTTGTACCTCAAGAAGACGTAGCTCGGTATAAAAATCCATGGGTAGAAGAAACAAAACCACCACCACCACCAAAACCTCAATTACCTAAAACAAAAACTCAAATAAAGAATGAAAAACGAAAACTTAAAAAAAAAGAAGAGCGAAATAATGAGAATAATCTTGAAAGTATCAACAATGAGCATGAACGAGTAGTTGAAGAAGACTCATTAGGTCAATTACAAAGTAAAATATCTGAAATGTCAGTTAATGAAAGCAATGAGTTTCCTACTGCTCCTACTGCTTCTATAACCATAGAACAATTAGAAAATACTACAAAGAAAATTAAAGTTCTTGAAAAGAAAATTAGACAAATGGAAAGAATTAAAGAAAAACAAGCACATGGTGAAGCATTAAAATTAGAAGAAGAGGAGAAATTAAGTAAATTAGAGAGTATCCAAGAAGAACTGAGAAGATTAAAACAAGGGGATGAGGAATAAGTAAGTAATTTGTTATTTTGCAACAGAAAGTTATATGGAATAATAATCCTGATTACTGGATGAAGGATGATGTACTAAATTTTAAATAATTACAATTTTTTTACAATAAAAAAATCATCTATCTTTATTTATAAAATCGAATAATTATTTAACATAATTTTTAAATGGTATAATATAAAAAAAACTAAAGATTTTGCGATTTGATATATACAAGATATAAAATTGTAATATATTTATATTTATATGCATCTTTCCCCAGCGACTGAAATTTTATTTACTATTCACGAGTATATTGCTAAATATCACCGCTGATGATTGTCATCTTACCAGAATTAGGATAGAATTTGGGCAGAATTAAAAATGTCATGAAGCTTCGCCCGCTAATGCTGGTGCGGTGGTGATTACCGTGTGGTGATTTTTTAACACTTTCTTGTAAATTATAAATGTAGTTTTTAACTACCTTTTAAATAATTTTAAAAGAAAAAATATCTGAATTACTATATAATAATAACATAATTTTGGAGATAAAGAATACCAATTAAAATCTTCAATATAAAAATGGAATTCTCAATTCTCAAAAAGGAGTATAAAGAAAAATAAATCAGGCTAATGAAAATAACCTATTAAAAAAGCATAAATTGTAAAAAGATAATAACATTTTATAATAAGACTAAAAAAACAAAAAAAAATAAAGTAAAATATCAGTTGTATATTTATAAATGATAAAATTAACATTTATTATAAAATATTGATATTATATTTTTTCGCACTGAAGTGGGTGTTAAAGATGTTGGCTGTAAGATGTTAGAAAGTAATTGGAATAAATGGAATGATTTGGCATTCCATCGAGGCGGTCATTGGACAAATTTTTAGGTAGATCATGACAGTCACCTTTGAATTTGAGGTCGCATCATGGTTTTTAACAATGATGTAATCGTTTAGGTGACAGGTCGACTTGTTCTTTATGAAAAGTAGTCTTGTTTCATAATGCTTAATTC